GTCCCGCCCATCCCTGTCTCAGAAGCACTGTGAGTCAGACGGGATGGAACAGCTTGCCCTCCCATGGGATGCCTGAAGCCTGCCAAGGGTAGGGAGAATGTGGCGTTTTACAAGCTGTTTGCTCCAAGACTACAAAGAGGGTGCATTCCTGCATATGCTCTTATCATTTGAAGCGCTGTTACTGAGGAGGAACACTTAAGCAAAACCAAAGACGGGAGGCCTGAGAAATGCACAGACGCAAGAGCCATAGTTACCCAATGGAACAAACCAAAGGCCTGTTTACATGATTAGAAATCCTGGGATAGCCACTTTTGAACTCTGGGAATATATTTACATGCTCTAGGAGCGAGGATGAAATAGCTTGAAAGAGTGTCAGTGATGACCCTTAGGATCCCCGCTTTCATTCCAGGGTAAGTGACCATGAGAACAAGAGGAGGGTGGTTGTCTCTGGTGGGGAGCCTTGACAATCCCCCAGAGAAATACTGTGACCTGTGATTGAATGACTCTGTAAGATAGACAGGGCGGGAGTGTGGCCTAGCAACTCACAAATTTATTTCTGACACTTGTATTATCTCTTTCCTCCAATGAGCTTAGGTCAGTGTTTCCTGCAGGTCTCCCATTCAGCAGCTGAGCAGATTCAGACCTGCTTGACTTTATTTTATGTGTTTATTTATTAAATTTGTAAATTTGTATTCATCCATAGATCTCAGCGTGGTATAAAAAACCCCCACAATATAACAAACACAAAATATACAATAGAAATAAGAGGAAAAAACAAATCAATAATACCCCCCCACAACACATTTAATAGTGTAAAGGTAAAGGGACCCCTGACCATTAGGTCCAGTCGTGACCGACTCTGGGGTTGCGGCGTTCATCTCGCTTTAAAGGCCGAGGGAGCCGGCGTACAGCTTCCGGGTCATGTGGCCAGCATGACTAAGCTGCTTCTGGCGAACCAGAGCAGCACACGGAAACGCCATTTACCTTCCCGCCGGAGTGGTACCTATTTATCTACTTGCACTTTGACGTGCTTTTGAACTGCTAGGTTGTCAGGAGTAGGGACCAAGCAACGGGAGCTCACCCCATCGCGGGGATTTGAACCGCCAACCTTCTGATCGGCAAGTCCTAGGCTCTGTGGTTTAACCCACAGCGCCACCCACGTCCCCATTTAATAGTGTACCAGGTGTTAATCAGCCAAAGGCCTGGTTGAAGAGGAATGTTTTTGCCCAGCGCCTAAAGCTGTATAATGAAGGTGCCAGCCGAGCCTCCTTGGGGAAAGCATTCCAAAAGTGGGGAGGCACTGCTTTCTAATCCTCAATGGCAAGGGAAATGCACTCCATACGTAGTAGCTAGAACCACTTTCTTCTTTGGTATTACATTACATTCCTGGCCCAAACTTGGCACTGAAAACAGGCTCCAAAGTTAAGCTGCAGCTCAACTTAAGCCAGAGGTCTGCGCATGCTTAGGGACCATTCGTTATGACGACTGCTGCTTTACATAACCATGATGAGTGTAGGGCAGGAGTGAGGAGCCTCAGGCTCAGGGGCCAAAAATGGCCCTCAAGGCCTCCCTGTCTGGCCCTTGGGAATCTCCCCAGACCACGCTTCCTCTCCCCAGCCTCTTTTAAGTATTTTTGATGGGCTAGAATGTGCCCTTAATCTATGATAACGCCTCCGACCTGCCCAGATGAAGCAATGCATGTATGCGGGTGGGCATAGGAACCGCTAACTCGGTTGTGAGGCCTACTAAACAAAGTAAAGGATCACATCTGTTTCCTGGGCCACTTCTGCTTCTCACCCCACTCTCTACTGGCATGTGCTCAAGATTGCCCATGAGAGATTGCAGACTGAAACAGCTTCCCTCACCCCTGATGCAGAGGGGCAAGCTAACAGTCTACTCGCCACAAGTTGCCTAGAGAAAATTGCCGTCCTGTGTGTCAATCAGTTTTTCTAAGTTGCAGCCTTATAATCAGTGGCCCTGTGCTTCCACCTCCAGCCACGCATTTGGATGGTGTCCGTCTGCAGCCGAACACCTTTCTGACCACTCCATCTACCCATCCTTCCTACACTTTGGCAGACTTCTGAGATCGAAGAAGAAGAAGAAGAAGAAGAAGAAGAAGAAGAAGAAGAAGAAGAAGAAGCAAGCCAATGTGAAGCTGAGAGGGGTGTAGGTCAGGAGTGGGGAAGTGGGGGAGGCGGAGGCATAACGTGGCCTGGACACAGAAGTCTTTGTGGAGATTTCCAAGCATTCCGTTTGAAAACACTTCATATATCAAGTGCAAGTCCCTTCTCTTGGTACAGGCAAAACGAATCAAAGGGGGCCATGGGCCAGCTGAATGGGGGTGGCGGGGGAGGAGCAAGGATTATTGGCTCCCTCCCACCCTCCTCCTTCACTTCCACCTACCCACCTCCTTCTGCCTGTCACAGAACACCCTTTGTTGTAACTTGCTACACGCTTGCCACGAAAAAAGGTGGCGAAGGCGGCAATCTTTACGCATTGTTCCACTGAAGTCAACAAGATGCGTGCAGGCGTATTATAGCTTCATCCTAAGGAGCAGAGGGGTTCATTTGCCATCAAAGCCTTTGCAAGGGCCACAGCTCTCAAACACTCAATCCGGTTGGCAAAGGGGAAACGATTTGTTATCAGAACCTCTTTGGTTGTTTGCTAAATGCTGGTGCTAAGCACGGTTCTTAGGAAAAAGTTGGACCTCTGATTGCACCTTCTTAGTAACATCAGAGATAACTTTTGTGGCGAAGGGAGAAAGAGAAACTCAGGTTTTGTTTCAGCCTGGTTTTGCAAATAAGTGCAAATAAATGCATCAGTCCAATTAGAGATGGAAGAAACTGCTAGTTGCAGATTTTCTCAGTTTCTTGTATTTCTAGCCTTAAGTTCAGTTCTCCACATTTCTGCCTCGATTTGTGAATTTTTTAAAAAAGACGTCATCATGAAAATTCATCGACAAATTTTTTAGCGCAAATTTCTCCTTATAGACTTTTGTATGCTATTTTGCCTCACGTACACGTTTCCCCCCCAACCAATTTCCCCTAATATAATGCAGAAAAAGAGAACTGAGCAAAATAACATAAGGCAACCCTGCTGGAACAGGCCAGTGGCCTGTCTAGTCCAGCATCCTGTTCTCACAGTGGCCTCCCAGATGGCTGTGGGAAAACCACAAACAGGACCACAGCACAAGAGCTGAACCCCATTCAGCCTTCCTGGGCTTTCCAACAACTAGTATTCAGAAGCATTACTGCCTCTGACCTAGCTGCATTCAAAGTCCGTAATGTGTACACTGCATACCAAAGCTATGTTCCAATGAGTCCTCCTGCAACACTTGAAGGAGCATGGAGAAGAATACCATGTTCTAAGAAGGCACTATTATAGCCAGCTGTATCTATCTGGGAAGACAAAAAAACCTATTTGAAATCCTAGAATCACTTGTAATGTCTGTCACTGGATCCTTCCACTGATGCTTTTGTTTTTTAAAACCTCCTGGGGTAGTTCGTACACCTTTGGTCCCCACCCTGCACTCAGCTTTCACCTGATTTTAAGGCTGCCACTTATCAGAAAGGTAGTATTATACATGGCATCAACCGACATAGTTATGTGTGTGCTGAATAAGGTGAATGCAAAAGTGGTGGGTGGAGGGGGGAAGCTAAACTCTTCCCTCACAACCCACCGGCTTTGCTCTTTTTCCCCCACCACCTAAACTCTGAAGCCAGAAATAACCTAGACTAGGAAGAAAGAAGCCCATGGGATGAGGATGGCGGTAGGCATAAGTGATGCGCAAGTGGAGGGCTAAAGGCTCATCCAGACTTCCTTTTTGTGTAGTGTTTCTAGGCACAGGTCTGCATTCTGAAGCTCCGTGTCCGAGTGTTTTTCTTTTTGCCCCAGTGCTTTCCCCAAGAAAACCCGATTTTTACTGCTGAAAAAAAAATCCCAGAGAAAAGCTGAATTGTCGTTTGTTCTGATTCAGCATGAAGAGCAGATTTTCCTAGGGAAAACGGGGTGAGCGGGTGGGGCATGTGAACTGGGACAGTGCAGACCTCTGCCTAGAATGCACAGGGCAAAAGATATGTGTGGATGAGCCCCCAGTTCCCACCTGATACTTCTCCCCTGAAATACAAAGTGCCCCACTAGATCAGGCCACAGACTCATCTAATCCAGCATCCTGTTGTCAGTGGCCAACCAGATGCCTATAAGAAGCCTGCAAGGACATGTCTGTTAACCCCACTCTCCTCACTTGCGAGTTCCAGCAACTAGTATTCAGAGGCCTTCATCTGCATTCCCACATTAAGCAAACATAAGGCTGGGAACCTGTAAACCCAGGCATTGCTATGTACAAACCTGGCACAATTTCTAAAAAACAACCAAGCAAAGACTAAGCCTGCCCCCACCCCGATGTAAAAAACAGCCTACTCAACCATTACAGGAAAAGAAAAAACGAATGTAGTTTGGACAGGAGACTGCATGCAGAGCTTGTGCCGTACCAAATACAGCGACGCATGGGGCCCACAATAAAAGATGATGTTATGAAAGAAAATGTACTGGAATTGCATTAGTGTGGGCACAGCTTTACAAGAACTGACGTTAGCTAGCTTGGGGCCTGGCCAGACATTATTTGCAATGCTTGAGCCTTGACATACACGAACCAAGCCTGATAGGGTCCAATAAGGAGATGTTTCCCAGTGAAACTGATCAGATGAAGGTATGTGGTTTTTTGGTTCAAAATACTAAAATGGCCACAATAGCAGAAGTCGGAATCAGAGTGTCCAGTATTCTGTTAAGAGTAGAGTCCAGGGCAGAATCTAAGCGATAGCCCAGATCTTTCCTGAATTGTCAGAATAAAAGCTGCTCAAAATTGAGTGGCCATTTAAACATCCTCCTTCCTGCCCAAAAAGAAAACACATCACCAAAAAAAGAAAAAGAGGAAACAGGTTTGTATAAAATGTGTGCTGATTTATATGTGTAGATGCAAATGCATAATTACTATAATTTAAATAGGAATGCAATATATCTAACCATGTAAAGAAAGAATCTGACCAGGTGGTCTGTGGGACTGCTCAGGCTGCTGTGCAAGGGCTCAGTATTTATGGTCAACCTGAAGGTCCCTCCTCTCCCTTCTCATGGTTCTTTATCCTTAAAGTGGACCTGGATTGAACAGTTGAGGTCTGCCCTCTGTAAAGTAAGGCATGTGAGCTCTCTAGTTTAAAGGAAGATGGTGCCTCAAGAAGATACACTCTTAAGTGTATAGGGCAGGCAAGTTGAAAGTCTGTTTTGGGGACTTAATCTGAACCGCTGGTCGGTTCAATCCGGCCCCTTTCCTGGGGTAAAATCCTAAAAAAACCTCAACAACTTAAACCCTAAAAAAACCTCAACAACAACTCCAATCCTAAAAAAACAACTTTTGGGTAAAATCATAAAAAAAGCTCAACAACTTCAATCCTAAAAAAAGGTTAACAGCCTTGGGGTCGGCCCTTTGGCTCTTCATCAAATCTGGCCCCCTTTGAGAAAAGTTTGGACACCTCTGGCATAGGGAAAAGTTCAGATAATGAAGGAAGAGCAAGACAATGGTCTGGAGAAAGGGACCATGTGTCTGTACCAACCAATCAAAGGTAGGTTTGAACCTCTTTAACAAGATGCAAGTTCTCATAGGCAGTGTGCAGGGGGGCAATGGAGGATGCTATATTGTACAGTAGTCTCGTGCTCTCCTCTGTAGATGCAGCTGGTCCGAACCCACTTATGGAAGTGGGGGGGAGGTCACTGTGAATAACTTACTAAGGCAGCTCATGTTGCTGCAGTGACCACAAAATCCAGCAGAACTTTAAAATTTTACGTTAGGAAAGGGCTCTGAAATAAAAATAGACGATAACAAATCCCCTTAAAAAGCAATGTGGAATCTGTACTGAATCCTCCCTTTTGTCCATGGTGTAGGGGGAGGGAGGGAGGGAGGGAATCTTATAAACTCCAGTGAAGTCCACTGCAGACACACCACATATCAAATGGTATTCCCCTCACAGACACACCTCCTCCCTCCTCCTCCCTGCTCAGCCTAGGTAATTGGAGACAGAGCGTTGGCCTCTGGGCTGAGTGGAGGATCCTTTGTTCCCCTTTCTGGGGCCTTGTTTTTCTGCCTCTTGTGAGGCTAATCCAGTGAGAGACAGACACATAGACACATGGAGCCTTGCTCCAGAGCTTACTGGCTAAACGTATAGTCAACACTGAAAAATTACCTAACAATGAGCTGGAGTGGGCAAGCACATTAAAGCTTTTGCACTCGGGCATTTTAAGCTCAGGCCACTGGAAGCCAAGACTGAACAAAAAGAAATGGAAACCCAACTGTAGCTTTGGCTCATTTATTGTGCATTCCCTCTGAAATTTCCTGCCAATCAGACTTCACATGTAGAATGTGATCTGTAGATCCTACTTGGCCAAAACCCCGCAAGATCCCCATTTTTCTGCACAGAGTGGGTCTTCATGTGGGTTTTCATTCACAGAATGCAGAGCAGCGGAGCTGCTTTCAGTACACTGCACCCTGGTGCATATGGACTTAACAGGTGCTCCGGTCCTTAAGCACAGGGAGCGTCTGCAAGGATATGGCTCACATGAGATTCTTGTATTTTCAGCTTTCATTTTAAAGAAAAATAAGAAAGGGAAAACAACTAGCTAATTTATTGTAAGAGAGTAAGGAAAAGTGTGCAGAGAGTATTGTACAGTGTTATGGCAAATGACTGCAAAAGTAATGGGATAGCTGACAAGCATTAGAGATTTGTGTGAATAATACAATTATTATTTTTTGTATCATTTTATTAGGTTATTACTTTTTCTGGTTGATCTCTTTCATTTTCTCCAACTCCAGAATCTCGGTGTACTATCTCTCACCATACATTTTTGAGTACTGCAGGTACTGTACAGTGGTGTCTCGCAAGACGAAATTAATCCGTTCCGCGAGTCTCTTCGTCTTGCGGTTTTTTCGTCTTGCGAAGCACGGCTATTAGCGGCTTAGCGGCTATTAATGGCTTAGCGGCTTTAAGAAAAAGGAAACAAACTCGCAAGACGTTTCGTCTTGCGAAGCAAGCCCATAGGGAAATTTGTCTTGCGGAACGACTCAAAAAACGGAAAACTCTTTCGTCTTGCGCGTTTTTCGTCTTGCGAGGCATTCGTCTTGCGAGGTACCACTGTATTCACACAGCATCTCTACCCCATTCGTGAAGGAATTGCTAAATATGGGGCACCCAGGCCTAGGGATTGGGGTGTTATCCTATGTTGGAAAAGCTGGGCACAATCTAGAAAAAATGTGTGTGTGGTCCCAAGTGCCCATGAGGACTTTGGTCTTGTGTTTCTTAAAACTGCACCACTGTGTTCTACATGTTACTTTTCAAGAGCAGTTTTTCATAAGACAAGGTGAGGTCTGATATTCCAAAAGAAAAAGGCAGAATTTGCTGAAGCATCTTAAGCTGCTGTTTTGTGGACAACACACACTGACACAAGGATACATACACCACATTCCAAGAGCATATACTGCTTGTGTCAGAGTTAAATGATTTGAAATGCTAAACATCCTATCAGCTGGCTGAAAACTGTGTATGTGAAGGGGATTTGGGGTGTGGGTATGTGCAACCTCCCCTCCGCTACTTTCAAATCTTGCAAAATGAACCACAGACTGTCTGAGACATGCATGCCAAAAAAGCAAATATATTTTCTTTGGCAACAAAGTGATGAGTGAGAAGGGAAGCCATACTTGTGATCAGATCAAAACTGCTTGTTTAGAGCTGGTGAAATATGGCTTGAAAGTCTGGGGGCTGCATCAGAGTGATGTAAGGATTTGAGACCCAACCAATCTCACTAAAACGTCAGATTGTACACTGGAAAGAGATGCAAAGAGCAACATAACATAATATAAAATAAAAGTAAAATCTCAGGAGATGAAGGGAGTGGAAAAATGCTTGGAACACATTCAGTGGAGTTTAGCCAGAGCATCCCAAGGTACAAGGAGGTGAACTGCAAAAAGAAGAAAAATGGGAGGAGCCAGGCAGGCTGTAGGCTCTAGGGTCTGAGGCCAACCAGTGTGTGTGTGTGTGTGTACGTATTAGGGAGTGTTGAAAGCATCAGATATGGCAAAGACAGTTAATTCAATGGCTGAGTTCTTCTGACTCTACCACATTCGTATTGTTATAGCTGAGGCACTTCAGTCTGTTAGCGAATATTAAAAACTAATAAATGGTGGTATTTAGATAATGTTTGGGATATAAAGGGAAAATACAAGCTGCAGATCTGTGTCAGACAAGGAATTCATGGGCTAGCTTATGCAAACCAGCCTGGCCAAGTACAGAGCCACTGAAAAACAAAGGGGAACTGAGCCAGTGAGGACCACTGGCAATGAAAAAAGCTGTCCTTCCCATCCTCATCCCAAGCAGTGGACAGATATGGGAGAATAGGCAGGTTGCCAAGGTGAGGCAGGGGCATGATGTCACAGGAAAATCTGTCCTTTTTGAAATATAATGGTTTGTTGGGAAGGAATGGGGCAGAATTCTCTGGGCTGCTACGGAGGCGATAAGCAGGAAGAAAGAGGTGGTGTATAGGATGGCTCTGAATGTAGTGACAGGTGGCAGGAAAGGACAAGCTACTCCTGAGAATGCTATAAACTACATTTCCTTCATGTACACTCAGATTGTACATATATGTTAACAAACCATATTTTTAAAGACACTGCTGACTCCGCTGAGCCTTATTTCTCCCCAGGATCACAATACCTCAAGGACAGTCTCTCCCCAAATGAACTAACCCATACCATGGGACCCAAGGTCCTTCTTTGTGTGCCCCCTCCAAAAGAGGTCTGGAGTGTGGCAACACAAGAACAGGTCTTTTCTTCAGTGGCTCCCCATTTGTGGAATGCTGTCCTCAGGGAGGCTCGCCTAGTGCCTTCATCACATATCTTTAGGCACCAGGCAAAAACGTTTCTCTATAACCACTTATTTGGCTGATTAAACAATCTATGTTTTTTTAAATGTCTTTGAGGGAGAAGGGTCATTGGTTTGTTTTTGTTATATATTTTGTGTTCTCATTTTGGAGCTTTATGTTGTGAACCTCTCTGTGATCTTCGGATGATGGGCAGTATATCAATCAATCAATCAATCAATCAATCATTTAATAACCACCTGTTACCATGTCTATGGGAGGAGAGGGCAAAGGGCTAAGAATACATGCAGCTGGGTGGTTAAGAATGCATGTGGGCAGGTGAAATTAATGCAGAGCAACCTATAAAGGTATTAAATATAGGTATTACTCATATGTGTAAATCCATTTAATTGTATTAAATAATAATTATAAAGTGCATTATACAATATGTACTCAGTTATTCCAGTGCTTTTGCCAAAACATGAGAAGCCAGGAGCAGGAGCAGGTTGACTTCTTACTGAGGAATCAGGTAGAAGACAGACTGTACTATCTTCTTTGTATATCCACAAGCTCCAATGAAAGCTAAACATTCAGAAAAGGAGCCTAGAATGAGAAGTTAGTGAAGAATGCAGGCTAACATACTTACCTTAGATTGGCTTTTAAAGAATACGTAGTCTCTTTTTGGTTACTTGTCACCCCTAAAGGTAACAAAGGCTGTGTGCACAGTAACCCACTTGTAGCACAAGCGTAGTTTTTCTCAGTCTGGAATCATTCATGTTCATCCTCAACATGCTGCTTTATCAGTCTAAAATGATTCTAGATCCGGCCATCCAGGAGTGGGTGTGGTTACTTGATACACATTTGAAAACCCTTCCCTTGATGAAGCTATCCACACCTTTTCCTTCCTACAAAAACCCAGAAGAACAAAGAAGGAGGTGGTGATTGCTGTCTTGGTATATGCACACCCACAATGTCATTACACAAGTGTGGATACACACACACCTTTGCCAGGACGGCCTGCATCTATTTTCAAATAGATGCACTACAGGGTAATGCGGACTTAATCTGCAATGAGCTTTTATTTTCTGAATGAAACTAGTTTCCCAAGAAGTGCTTTTCAGCAGCAAAAAACACACAATAGATCTAGATTGTGTGTGGACTACATAGAAAAAACAAGTACTTCGTTTCCCTTGATTTGATTCTAGAATAATATGTGTGTCCTAAGCCCCAAAACAGCCCACTAAGTATTGAGCATGCTCAGTAGCCACAGAATGTTTAATGTCACTCAAAAGAAAAAGAAAATGGAAAAATGGGAGTGAGGAGTGCAAAGGCCTGCTTGGACTCCTTGTATCTTAGTAGTCCTGAGAGAGGGCATGGTTGGCTAGCAGGCAGAAACCTGAGAAAAACACTTCTGCTGTAAGTTAAAGATACGCAGCAACATTTTATGGTAGGTCCCACTTAATTTCAAAGTACACTCCACAGGAAATTAGATGGCCCAACCCCTTCTGATAGGGGTTGAGTAGGAGAACGCTGAAACCTTCTATGTGAGTTCACAGCATACAAACTCTCCCTCCTCCCCACACAGAACCTGCTATAATGATGACCATTTCTGCTAGTGAAATAATTGCAGATTATATCCTTTTTTCTTTTCTTTTTTACCCAATGGCAACTTATTGAGTTGATTGAAATCATACGCTTAGAGCCATGCAATTGTAATTATTCCCAACTTGCCCTGGTAGAATTTAGATATACGTAAGTAAATCTAGGATCCTGACCCCAATGCTTAAATCCCTTGTCTTTGTTCTTGCCCCAATATTGGCAGATGAAATGAGTGCCTGTTCTAATCAAGGTTGTTGTTGTTTTTGTTTTTAAAAAACCTTTCTTTCGCCCACCCATGACTCATACTCTGATTCTAGATACATTTGCTCAGCAGTAGGTCCTGCTTAACACAATGGAACTTATGGGGGGGGGGAATGTGCAAACTACTTCTTTGTTAATCTTCTTTTCCTAAGGCTAAGCATACCTCTTTCCATTCCAGCTTTCCTTGCTTTTCTTTACAGTTGTTTTCTCAGTTCTTCCTAATGCCAATGTACCTCTGGGACTGCAAAGTTGGTTCCAATTCTGAGTCCTAGAGAATAAGAGAACAGGTGAATTGTCTGTCTGTTACTGATTGGACCAAAGTCTGTAGGTATAGGGTACAGCACAAGTATTTCAGTTCTACAGATAAGCATTTCTTGAAAATGCGCAGCTCTCTTGTGCCAGCAAAATGTGGCTCGGATACTTTTGTACCTGCATGAAAGGGGGAAGAGAAATTTCCGGAGAGGAGCTCCAAGTGTTGTGTAAAGAAAAGGGAAAAGCTCCCATTACTGGTAGACAATGATCATGCTATTGCCATCCACACCTTAAGAGTCTTTCAGACTAGACTGCTGCAATGAGATTTATGGAGGGTTGCTTTTGAAGTCGATCTGTAAAATGCAGATAGTATAAAACATCAGCACCAATCTGCTGACAGGTATGGTTAAGCTAGGTAATAATCTATAACACCTGTTCTGAAAATTTTGTAAAGGTGACAAGTTGTATCTGGGTCCACTTAAATATTATAATCTATCAGGAACATAGTCTCTTCTGCAGTGCCTCCCGGAACTGTGATAGTGTGATAACATGCTCCCCTGAAAAACCCACTGGTGTTCTTCCTTAGCCTCTCCAAACTTTTGGAAGTTGGGTGTTTTCTTATTGTTGTTTTTGTAAGTGATTTTAGTTAGTGTTTTATTTCATTTTGTTTTATTTTTATACTTTGGATTTTTGGCAACCAACCTGAGCTCTGTTGTTCTTAAAATCTAGAAATACTGGTAATAAACAGGAAAAAAAACCTGGACAGCACATTCTGCCACTCTGTCTTTGGAACATGACTAAGGACTATCAGTTTGCCTAAAACTCTGAAGTAGGGTGGGAAGCCAGTTCTTTTGCAGTTGGGAAGTCTACAATACTTTTGGATTTAACTGGTAAAACTTGGTTGTGGACTAACTGAGCCAGGTTGTCCCAAACTAGCAACACCATTTCTGGATCAATTTGTACATATTTTATGGGGCAGGCAGTGTTATTTTTACATCTATTTACAAAATATTGTTTGTGAGGAAGTGGGGAAGAGTAAGAGGATTTGGGGGCAGCCAAGTTGATTATGAATGTGTGTGTAAGTACATCTAATTCTGCATTGATTAGGCCTTAAATCTGGGTTTGAGAACTTCAATGCTCTATACTGTGGCAAAACCAGAAAAACTGGGAAAACCTAGCCAACTCCCAACTGAGGCTCACAGAAAATTCCTATACTGATGGTTTAAAAAAGGATTGGACACAAATCTAGACTCAAGCACTGAAATTTGCCTTTGCTTCTAGCACCATCTGCTGTCTGTTCTGATTCCCAGCCTGTACAGTATATACTTCACAGATTTTTAACTGTTTTCCCCATGTTTCAAGAGAATATTAATTGAAAAATATGCATAAAAATAGTTAAAATCAGTTTAACATAGGTAAACTATACATAGCAGCACTCAAATTTATTACCATAACTTCTAAATTCTGCATTGTTTGTCATGGTACTGGCATGCTGTTGGCACTAGAAGAGAGAAGGTATGGGAGAATGGATGGAGAGAGCGGCCGGAAAAGACAAATGACCAACAGAGGTTGGAAAAGGTCAGGATGCTATGCAAGTTTACTACACTCTCTAAGTGGTGATCCTATCACAGTTGTATGTCTAAGTGGTGACAGGATCACACCTGAGTCCCATTGCACAAGTAAATGCAAAAGATGTGTTGGTAAACTCTAGGAAACTTGATTACAGTGCACTGTATGTAGGATTGCCATTCAGGGTGTCCCCCCCCGAAACTCCAGTTTGTACAGAATGCACCAGTTAGGCTACTAACTGGGACTAGTTACACTGAACTTACCTTGCCAGTTCTTAAACAGCTACACTGGTTGCTGCTGTTTCTGGACAAAATTCTGCTCTGTGCTGGTAAAGGTAAAGGTATAGGGACCCCTGACCATTAGGTCCAGTCGTGGCCGACTCTGGGGCTGCGGCGCTCATCTCGCTTTATTGGCCGAGGGAGCCGGCGTACAGCTTCCGGGTCATGTGGCCAGCATGACTAAGCCGCTTCTGGCAAACCAGAGCAGCGCACAGAAACACCGTTTACCTTCCCGCCGGAGTGGTACCTATTTATCTACTTGCACTTTGATGTGCTTTTGAACTGCTAGGTTGGCAGGAGCAGGGACCGAGCAATGGGAGCTCACCCTGTTGCGGGGATTCGAACCGCCAACCTTCTGATCGGTATTTGCCTATAAAGCCCTAAGTGGCTTGGGATCTGGGTTCCTAAAAGGACTGCAATAGAATGTCTAATTTCAGGGCTGTGGGGGTGGGGGGGAGGACACCAGAGGCACCAAGGAAGACATCTGCAGGCACATGTGCCCCAGTGGGTATCATGCTGGACAGAAATTCAGAGACAATTGCATATACTTCAGAACAGCATATAGGGCTCCATCCATGCTACAGGATAGAGATACTGGTGCCTTAGAAAGAGTCAATACTGTACATATCTGTGCCAAATCCCACTTGGGCCCTGAAGGGGTTAATCTATACAGTACTCCACCATCACAAGCAACATTTCCATTAGACAACAGTCAACCAGCTACAAATCCACCTAACAGTTACCTCATCCAGCCCTCATTTTACCAGCTTCTCTGCAAGAATATCATGGGGGACTTACCGAAATCAAGTTACACTATGTCTACAGCATTCCCCTAATCCACCAAGCCTGTAACTCTATCAAAAAAAGAAATGAGATTTGTCTGGCATGACTTGTTTTTGAGAAACCCATGCTGGGTCTTAGTAACCACAGCATCCTTTTCTAAGTGCTCACGCAGAGGCAGAATGTTTAATTATCTGCAAAGGATGACGGGGCCTGACAGTGACAAACCAGGAACAAGACCTTGGGTCATAGTGGCTAGCTTGAAGATGTTGACCCAGTATATGGCAGCTGTCATTCTAGGGGTCATTAGGAAAAGAATTGAAAGTAAAACTGCCATGTTACATAAATATGTATCACAACTGCATTTGAAATACTGTGTATGATTCTCATCACCTCACCTCAAAAGGGATATTAGAAGCTTGGAAAAGGTACAGAAATGGGCAACCAAAATGATGGAGAAACTTCCCTATGAGAAAAGGTTGCGGCATTTGGGATTTTTTTCAGTTCAGAGAAAAAGGAAGTAAGAGGTGACACGATTGAAGTTTATAAAATTATGTGTGGAAGGTGTTTTTTTGCCTTCTTTCATAACACTAGACCCTAGCAAAACTGAATGTCAGGACAGATATAATAAAGTACTAGCACTTCTTCACAGTGCATAAACTATGGAACTCACTCCCACATGAGGACAGTGACAGCCACCAACCCAGATGGCTTTAAAAGATTAGGAAGATAAAGCTATCAGTGGTTACTGGCCATAACAACTGTATTCTACCTCCAAGGTCTGAGGCAGTATCCTTCCGAATACTGGAAAACACGATAGGGGAGAGTGTTCATGCGCTCAGGTCCCACTTGCAGGTTTCCCATGGGCATCTGGTTGTGAAAACAGGATGCTGGACTAGTTGGGCCACTAGCCTGTTCCAGCAAGCTTCTCTTAGGTTTTTATGTGACTCCTCTATGGCCCTGTGGAGACCCCTAAAATGGTCAAGGTGCAGTGGGACTCTCCCCATACAGCGCATATGCAACATCTTTCCTTTTCAAATTTATTTTTATTTTTAATTTTTTTGGGGTGGGGAGGAGACTATAGGGCTGAATCTTAGTAGCCCAAGCGAAGTCTTGTTTGCCCGCAGGCACAAACACTGCACCACAGGCCTGCTCCTGCCTCAGTCCTTCTCACAGCTCCCCTTTCCCATGCTACGCGTTCACCAGCTGTGGGTTTACCTCAGGGTTTTTTTGTTCAGTTCTTTAGAGTGGCTGGGGAAACTCAGTCAGATGGGAGGGGTATAAATAATAATTTATTATTATTATATTTAAAATTCAGTTTTTAAATCTACCCGCTTCTCTCTCTCAATCCCACCACATATTTCCTCAAGCTGCTTCCCCTCACACTCCTAGCCCCCTTTATTTTTTTCGAGCGGGAAAAGACTTGAAGCTTCTACTCCAACCGCCTTTTTGCTTATCACCGGGTGAACAAACCACTTTCCCGGCTTCTCATTGGGCAGGCGGCGACGCGTCCAATCGCGCGCCAGGTGTCCCTCGGTCCGCTGAATGGGGTAGGCGGAAGGGGGCAAAAAACAACGGAGAGGTTGCGATTGGACGCGCGGGCTGCCCAATGCGCAAAGAAGCCGGCGCCGATCAGGGGGTTTGGAGGAGGAGGTGGAGGTGGTGTGCCCTATATGAACATAGGATTGGCCCACCTCTCCGGAGACGGACGTCGGCAACCGCCAGTTAACGCGAGCAAGGGGAGGGGAGGCGTGCTGGAATCACACTTTTGCCTCGGGCTCGCCCTCTATTGGTGGCCCTGAGCTCCATACCCTCGTGGTTAAATGTCTTGAGACCCGAGGGAGGAGGAGGCGGGCCTACGGGGGAGGAGAAAAGGGAGCGGAGGGAGGAAAGTCGGCGCCTTATTGGCCGCCCGGCTGCGGGTGCTGGCCAATCGCGCGGTGGAGGGAGAACCTCGGCGGGCCCCTTCTCTGCCACCCGGCCGTCCCCTCCCCTCCCCCCTCCCTGTCAGGCTTGGTAACGGCTGCCTTGGCTGTTCTCGCAACGCCGTCAGAGCCAGTCTGGGCTGCAGGGTGAAGGGAGCTACCACGCCCCCCTGCGCGGTCATGGCGGGGGCAGCGCGACGCCCCTCTCTGGCCCCTGGTTTCCCTTGAAGAGGGGGCGGGTGTGTGTGGAGTGAGAGGCGCCCTTAAACCTGTGTAGGGAAGGGGATGGAGGTGAGGGGGTGGCCGAGCGGAGGGAGAGCAAACGGCGGGGGTTGCTCTCCCTAGGGCGGGTAGGTTGAGGGGTGCGGGGCGCTGAGGGGGGAGAAGGGCCCAAGGGAGCCGCTGAGGGGCGAGGAGTTGAGGCGCGGGGGGCGCTGTCGAAAGAGTAAGGGGTCTTGAAACGGTGGGGGGCTGCGTCTGGTGGGCTCCCCCTCCCCAGAGAGTGGGGAAGCAGCTCTTCCGAGTTAGGTTTGAATAGGAAGATGGAGGGGGGTGGGAAGGGGTCGTCGGAAGGGGAGAGGCGAGGAGAAACGAGTGCAGAGGAATTTGGGGAAGCGGGCGACTCGACAAGTTCGGCGTGTCCCTGGGATACCAGAACCGGGACACCCGGTTGTGTGGAACCAACTGTTGGCCAAGTCGTGTGTTTTTTTGTTTTCACTTCACACTCCCCCCCCCCCCTCATCTGCCTGCCATTTCTCAGTTGTTCCTCGGCAGAGAAATGATTGCCTTCAGAACAGCGACACCTGTTTGGCTCTCAGTCGGCTTAGTTCCCGAAAAGCAGAATTTGAGAGAGTCAAAGGCACCTGTGCAGTTTTCCCCCTTGGCTTTCTCATACATATATATATATATATATATATATATATGATTGCAGATCAGGCCTCGTTGATACTTTGGAGAAATGGGGAGGGGTATGTATGTAATAGACTGGTTCTCTCAAACTCAGCATAATAATGCAGTGTGTAGGCAGTCCGAAAGTGGGGGGGATGTTGGTATCTGTAAAACAAACAATTTAGATGTAGGTTAATTTGTCTTTCCACTTTTTTGTCTCAGCCCAAAGTAGCATTCAGAGGCACCAGCCGCTATTTGAATAGTGCAGAGTCCAGTGGAAGACTGACGGACGTGTTCAATAACGTTATCATGACAGGTTGCAGCTCCTTCTATGATTGCTACAAATTGCAGGTTCAGTCAGTTTTTTATCAACTTGAGATAATTTTCTTTTAGAAATACATTAGAGAGTTTTCATAATAAAGCATTATGTAGCATTACACTATTAGCATGGTTCGATTTGATTTTACTGGCCTGATAATAAACACTGTATTTGAAATGCATTAGAGCTGCTTCTCATGTGATTTCTGTACTTGAGTAATAACAGGGTACTATAAATTAAAGTAAGCATCATGTGGGGGGGGGACACACGCTCTTTATATGTTACTCTAGTTCTGTGGTATCCAAACTCCCATCCTCCAGGGCAACTTGAAAATTCCTCAGATTCTTGGCAGGCTACAATTATTTTTATGCCTGTTGTAGAAATTGCAGTACATTGTACTTGATTCTGTAGAATTTTTAATTTTTACCTTTATTGCTCCTTTTAGTTCTTATATATTGTATTTGATTCATTTTATTATAATTTAAAGTCCGTCAGATTCAAATTGTAGTCCAGTAAAATACAATATAAGAAATAAAAGAAGAAATAAAAATACAATTAAAAATCAGTATGGAGTGGCTATGTCATCTTCCACCTTCAGCCACAAATTCAGACACGCTGCAGACCACCTGAATGCAGCTTGCAGACCACGGTTTGGGAACCCCTGCTGTACTCATAATGCTCATTTCCTTATCATCTGTGTCGTACAATGATATCCAGGAGGGCAGCCGTCTATAGTCAGTCTCCTGTCATATCCAGAAGAACTTGGAAGGAATGGGACTACATGAAATACTTACCCTTCTAATGTGTTACATTTCAACACTCACTTCTAAGTACATGATAACTCATTATAGTTGAACTTTAAGTTAAACATATTTGAAAACTTGGGTGAAAAAGCATATGCCCATGTTTGAATGGCAGTTAACTCTATTAATGTGCAAGTTCTCCAAGGAGTTCCAGAGTGGTGTGTATGGGCTTTCAAGCTGTTCTGAAAGGTAGAGTCCTTTTTTCCCCAAACACTGCTTGGGCGTCTAGTAGAAGTATCCAATGTTTTCAGTGAATAGTGGACTTACTTTCTTTTAAATTATCTTCACACCCCCAATTGCTGTATTAGTGTGGTGCCATGTCCTCTAGTTTGATGAGCTGATGTGCTGATGCAGCCCTGTAGATTGATGATCCAGGTTCAGAGGTAGTGTTTGACTGAATACCTGTTTCTGGGACAACAGTGTGGCAGGGCTGTTTCTTTCTTGCTCTGTTAACTAGATGGTCATTTAGTTTGAGCTAATTTGAGCTAGTAGGGTACCTCTTACTTTCTTGTAGAGCTACATCAACTGCCCTAGTAAGCTACCTATTGTATGGAGTGCTAGACAAATACAAATTGTGATATAGAGAGGAAGGTTCATACTTCTCCATACCATGAATGGCTAGCAGTGTACAAACACAAAAGGGCTTTCTCTGGCAGTACCTCATCTCTGAAACCCTTCTGAGGAAGACCAGGCATACTTTTTGCAAGGCTATGTTCAGGAAGAATTTGAATAATTTTTTATTTCTTAAGATCATTGGAAGGGGATAGGTATATATAGGCACTGTGGTTTCTATAACTAATCCTTAATTATTGAAAATTGTCTCAATGGATTTTATGTTGTTAGCTGCCTTCAGTACTCTTCAGGAAGAATAGATGGGGAATAAATTTAATTAATAAATAACCCCATCTTTCAGTGAGAGAGTAGTACACAATATCTTAACTCCCTTCTGACTGCATCTGCAAATAAAATAATATATCCTTTAAAAATAAAATTTCTGAATAGCTAACTATCTTCCATTTGCTTCTCAGCTAAGCATCCAGTTCTGATAGATAATTTACAGGCATCCTAACTTTTAATGGGATTTAAAAGAAAGGTTTAGCAAATTCAGTTTAACACTTGCATATTAAAAGTTACTACTTATCAGATTGTCCATAATGAATTTGTGCAACCATAGCTGCTTCAAACATTTTCGTATTCTCACTTAGCCATGAATTGTCTAGCTCAGGTGGGCAGAAGGTAGATTACTATCTTCTGAAAGATCTTGGAGTAATCTACTCCAAGTATAGTAGTTTGGCAAGTATATCTGATTCTCACTTGTTTAACAAATAAAGAAAGCTTGTGTGAGGGAAATGAGGGATTTTTAATGGAAAAGTAATGTAAACTTAGTTCTGATAGGAAAAAAAAAATTTAAAGCCTGAAGTAAAACCTGCTTTAGGTCTTATACAAGTCTTGTCTCTTTAGCTCCTTAGCAGTTGGTATTGGTTGTTAGACTTGATGCTGGAATATAGAACTAGAAAATATTTCAAATTCATTTTTCCAAACATTAAAGAGAATTGTAAAATATTTTGTTCATTAAAAGTACTGTATAAATGATAATATATGTGAATGAACAGCCATGGAAACTGAACAAGCAATCATTTCAGCAATTAAAATTCAATGCATAAGGCGTAACTCAGTTTTCATTTTCAATTACTTTGATCAGGTATCACAGTGCATTTATAAGCTTATATTTCCCATGGAGACAGAATGTGTTGTATACCACATGGGCTTAGGCATGCAGCATTACACACATTACTCTATTGCTGGATGTTTTCCCTGGACATCACACTTTCGTGCATCCAGTATACAAAACTGTGGATTAGGATTACTTCATTGGGGGTCATATGATGAACACATCACTTTGACATACTTTATTCATTTACACAAGTAAAACTGATTGCACACTGGATGCCTTAGTAATAAATGAAATCCAAATAGAATTCCCCATAGTACAAAGTGTTTTATAATAAAATTTAGCCCAACAAGTATAAATTATCTTCCACTATGCAAAATCCTGCTGAATTGTGTTAAGTTTCAACAACAAATTCCCTTTAACTGGGAGAAGTAATAACTTACTCCTACCTCAGAGATTAATTTGGAAACAAATTTTATTTAGTGTTGTTTACTGGTTTTCTTAGAAACTAAAAAACAGAAGTATGTTAAATTAGGGAACATTATCTCTGGAACTGTGGGGGGAAATACTCTCAAGGGTTTTAAAGCAAAATGTAGCTATATTTGTGGTTGCTATTATATACCTTTGCTGTAGCCTATTTCAGATCAGTAAAAGTCCCCGCCCCCCTACCCGTCAAAGTGGCTGAGTAATCTCTCTTTAGTGTGTCGTGATCTGGCTCCTTTGCAGTAGTCGTGGGGACGACTAGTACTGTCTGGAATCAATTAGCTGAACTTGATGGCCTTTGGTCCTTTCCAACCAATTTATTCTCAATTTAGGAAATTAATTATGAAATTAATGCATTAAAATTAATATTTTTAATATTAATTTTCTCTTCTTGAATTTAAAATACAGAGTGAAGAGAATGTAGACTTACGGCAGACTTACAGTACTTCAATTTCTACAGCTTCTGAATGTTCAAACCACGCTGATTCATCTCTTTTCTATGTCCCATGGTCTACATATGCAGATGATATTAAACAACCCCCTAGTTCTCAGATTAGTGTAAAGAACAGGTACATAATTTAACTGTTATATGACTAGGAAGAGAAAATTGTATGGTAAATAGTTTGCTTATTTTCATTGCATTAATTGCTAGTTTCTACAGAAGGGTACAAATTGACAATACATGTCCAAAAAACATGATGTGTTTTTTGGAGAGAATTTGTGAATGGTGGGTTTTTATTTTTCATGTTCAGAATCCATCTTGATTCTATAGTTGGTGTCAGAATTGAGTTCTTTTCAGGTCAGGCTAGCAACTCAGAAGTTTTTTTGCTTTTTGATGTAGAATGCAGCTATGCTCACTTTCTTTAATTTATATTGCTTTGATTTGTTCCATATATTGTAAAGGTGTCTGTCAGGCATCAGCCACTTCATTCTGTTCTTACCACCTATTTATAGCATATGAGAATGAGCAACTCCTCTGAAGCTTTCCTGATTGGGTCTGGGTGGGTGTGGAAATCCTGAGCCAAACTTAGAACTCAGAAAGGTATTATTATACCCTCTTCTATACCCCAACCACACTCCCCCTGCCCATGTCATTGGCAGGAGCAGCAGAGGGAGTTGAAAAGAAATACTTCTTTCCTTTTCTCACCCCCCTCAGTCTAATAGAAAATGGATTTGTGGCTGTAGTTATTTCAAGAGCTCCTGCAGTTGCATGAACTGTAAGAACTGCATCTTCCATAGTTCACTGCACCCCATCACACTTGGTATAATCTACTGCACCACATCAGTGAGGGCAAAAGAAGAGGGGAGCAAGCGAGCGAGGGAAGAGAAAATTTATTTGTGCTTCTGTTGTTTTTCCACTGATGGGGGAAGGAAGAATGTGGGAAGGAAGGGTAATGTTCAGAGTGCGTAGCAGGGATGGCATTAGGGTGTGGAGAGGAGTGGCAGATTTTTATTTGAGTGGGAGAGGAAGTTTGGAGTATGTAAAATAGGTGTTAGGAACCTTTGGCCCTCTAGATATTGCTGAACTACAACTTCTAGCAAGCATGGCCAATGGCAATGAATGATTGGAGTTAGAGAGCTGAAGTTTCTCCACACTTGCTATAAAACATACCTTTCCTTTTGAGGTGGGTTTTCCAGTGCCCTGAAATATTCTGAGCCTGGCTTGGGAGAAATTTGCCAGCACCACTAGAACTGGGTTAGTGTACGGCATATGTCAAAGGATAGAGGTGTGATTTAGATGATCTTGAGATCCTGGTATAGCCCATTTAATCTATGGATCCTTTATTTGGAAACTTTCCCAGTGTTTCATTCTTCTATGGAAATTTTCTATTTCATATATTTATTAGCAACAATGAATGGGAGCCAAATGCAAATACAGCATTGTGCAAATACAATATTAGGCAAAGTTGGTAATTTCACATTTCTAGCTTTGTTTATTAAAGTAAAATAAACATGGCCAGTAAGATCAGTCTAGGGCATAAGAAAATTGATACAAATTACCTGAGTTCAAAATCTTGTGTTAAACCACACCACTGTTTATCAGTTGATTTCCTTACAACATAGTAACATCATTTTTCTTCCTGCTGTCTAAAATCTTACAAGAGATTGTTTAGCTGGGCTGCCTCAACTTGGAGTGGGGAAGCTGGTTCACCAGGCTTTTACTTTTAGCTCACCATGCTCTTTTTGGCAAGCCATGCCTACCTGCTCCATACATGACATCAGGTGTGAGGCAGGTAAGGGCAGGGCTTCAAAGGAACAATTGGGAGCTTAAAATGAGTTGCCAATTGTTCCTTTGCTACAGCAAGACATTCTTTTACTGCCCCTTAGCTGATGGGTGGCAGAGGCAGCCTTGCTCCAAGAGGGTTAAGCAGTTCTAAACCGCTGAAAAACACAGGTGGGTGGGACCTCCAGTTTATCAGCAGTTTCAATGGAAACCATTTCTCCATCCCTATACTGCTTCTTTGACTTCTGACAACCAGAGGTTCAAGGAGCAGTGTGGGACTGTTTCAAAGCTCCTTTGCAAGCAGCCCCACTCTGCTGCTTGAACCTCCTGTTTTGAGAGGTTCATGGAGCAGCATGGAGCTATTTACAGACTTTCAAACAGTCCTGTGCTGTGCTTTGAAGTCAAAGCTCATTGTCACCTGATATCACGATGATGGGTGAGTGACAGGTTGGTGGACCTGCTCACCTGTCAGATTTGGCCCAGCAGGGGTAGGGAGATAAGGATCTGACCTGCCAACCAGAAAAAGTTTCCCACACCTGTCCTTGGGGTTTGCCTGCAGCAGGGATGAACACATTGTATGTGGTTCAAGTCTGCATGCAGTCAAATATGCGCAGTCTGCATGTGAGGCGGACAAGTTAAATTATTGAATCATTTGTATATTCCACTCATCGACAGGTTTAACATGCTGTCATTCATAATAGTCTGCGGGAATTCTGAACCGCAGGCTCTCATAATATGTCTGGGTGTACAATGTACTATAAATAATCTGAACAAAAAAAGAACTTGCTGGGCTTCAAGTCAACATGATGGTTGTGACGTGGGTCTTTGACAGCTTGGGAAGCAGCACAGTCAAGAGGTTAAAGGGATTTTGATTTTCTTCCCCCTTTTGTAGATGGTGAAATGTCTCAGTGGTCTACATTCAGCCTTTACATTCCATGCTAGCTCTCAAACAATCTGTTAATGTGTGAGATCTTTGTGGAACACAGGCAGCTCTAAAAGCTGCAGTTCCAGGATATTGTTGATTTTTTTTTGGTGGCAAATGTTATAGCTAGAAATAATAGAAATGTAAATATGAATATAGGCAGACATTCTTAGCAAATACTTAACCTACTTTTCTCACCCCACTTAGGATTCAAACAGAAAGAAATGACTATGGCAGTGAAACAGACTTATATGGACTTGTGTCTAACATCTTGGAAGAACAAGATAAATCTCAGCCATATTTTGCTGACGGGTTGGTAATATATTCAACATAGGATAGTAATTTCCTACACATCTACTCACTTTTTCCAACTGCTCTTGTTCCACTGAGAATATTCTGCATCTGCCATCAGTGGAAGCTTGTAATTTCTGCTGCCATTATCAAGAAGGCAGTAATGCATATTAACCTGAATCTTACATTTTTTTATTAGTGTATTTGTGGTTTTGGCAAGTACTTTAAACAGCTTATTACACATCATTCATATATAAAGATGTGCATTAAATAAGTGGTATGCCAACTACATGCAGACCTCAAGTATCGGTTTTGAACCCCCCCCCCCCAAAAAAAAAAAGTTTAGTGTGATCTAGCTTGATACATGTCTCTGGCTTTCACAGTCTTCATTTGAAATTATACCAATAGCTCTGACAACACACTGGCCATGGGACATACCAAAAGTAAAAATAAAGATTAGTATAATCGGTTAAAATCTATGTAAGGAATTGTGCAACTGTTTATGTTTCATTCTTGTAGGGCGTGCGCCTCCAACTTAAAATCAGTATGGCCTGTGAGCACAACCCGATTTACAGACCACCCTGACCTGCTGTCGGAAACAAAGAGGCCAATAGATGGAGCCATCCCTCAACAGACTTTTTATGGTGGAGAAACTTTGCCCGTGTCTGACAAACAGTATATGCATGCTGGTCCTGTAGCATTGCAACAGAAAGTGGATGACCTTTACCATGGGCTCACTAACATCGACATTGATGAGCAATGGCTGTACCCTTCCAGGAATGATCATGTCAGCTGTTATAATATTCAGAACAATGAGAATGCAAAGACACCACAGTTTCAAGACTATTCATATGTGAAAACATGTTTTGCCCCACAAACCAGTCTTTTAGAAGCAATAAAAGAATCAGGAGCAGATACTTATGCTTATGGAAGGGATAAGGTAGGTCCTAAAGGACATGATGCACAGGTGCACCAAAAGAGAGCTGAGATGCTTCTTTCACAATTCAGTAGATATGGTGAAAGTGCAGATTATTGTAGATACCTGGATTATTCTCATCCAAATAAAACAAAGCATAATAAAAATGCAAATTATAATGTTCAAGAGAGTAAAAAATTGCCAAGTGGAACACCTGAGTTACCAGCTTTAGATACTGATAATTATAGTAAACTTTTTCAAAATAAACCAGCTGTTCAGAAGAAAATGGAAGATGTCTCTTCAGAACAGCAGAATTTTACATTTCAAAAGACTACCGGACTCATGTCAGAAAAGCAGTTTGTGAATGAAAATTCATTTACCCCTGACTTTGGTTTAAAATCAGATTTTGCCCTCAAATCTCACACAGCTGTTTCGGGGAGTGGTGATTTTGCAAATGCTACAGAAAATTCAGAATATTTCAAATCACTGAATATCTTATCAACAAACCCAGTAACTTCTTCATCAGGCACAAATCTAAGGCCAACATGGATCAACATACAGACTAAAAACAGTTCCTCCATCCCTATTCGGAATCAAAGCACCTTGATAAAGTTGAATAATCATTTAACTGCTGGTTCAAAAGGTTCCAATCATTCTTATGATTTTTCTCAGTTGCCATCAAGCAATGCAACTTTAAGCAATAATTTGTTGCTCCAGAAATATTGCCAAGAAAACCCCACAGTATTTTCCGGTTTTGATTTCAATGATAGCAACGCTGGAGACAGAGTTCAGTCTGCCGGTCATACAGAAGGAATGGGTAAGGTAACAGAAGAAAGTCTTTTTGAGTCCATGATTGACAAAAAAATCAAACCAAACGGTTTTTGTGATAACTATACACAGCAATATGGGATCATTGAAAATGTGAACAAGCACAATTTTCAAGTTAAATCACAGAATGGACATTATGATGCTGAGGACGGACAAAAACATCTAGATGGACTGTCACAGAATACTTACCAAGATTTACTGGAGTCTCAAGGTCACTTCAGTAGTCACAGGCAAGGAAGTGGAGACAATATTGTCAGTAACCGTGTGAACCGCACTCAGGCTTCTTGCTTTTCAAACAATTTCATGATGGGTGACTTGAGGCACAGTCCAAGTGTTCCACAGCTTAATTCAAACAGATTTCCTTTGAAATCTACCCATCCTTTTGGGCATTCTGTCATTCCCCTGATGGATTCTTATGATTTGTTCTCCTATGATGATTTAAGCCACTTGTACCCTTATTTTAATGATATGATGTACGGAGACAATTCTTTCACAGGCTTCATGCCAACATTTGGATTTCAAAGACCAATGAAAACTAGGAGTGGGTCAGCCAGTGAACTTCATATTAGGTTGGAAGAATGTTATGAACAATGGAGAGCTTTGGAGAAAGAACGGAAAAAGGTAAGAAGAAACATGCATATCAGAAGGGAGTACAAAACGGGGAGTAGATACAGCAGTGAACAGAATCTTTGAAATTACTTAATAAGTATATTGAGTAGTTTCAAATATTCTGTTCACTACTGTATCTAAGAAACAGGAGGATTAGGCTAAGCTTATAGGAACAGCTTTCTTATCAATGCCTAGGACCAGAGACAAGGAACAGGTTTGGGCTGCTCAGTCTTCAGTCCTGATCAATTGGAAATTGCTGGCACAGTTGTTTAAACCAGTACTACTTTAGAGAGGTCAGGGTCTTGTTAAACTGTTCGGTAATCCTTGTTAAAACAGCCTCAAGCTTGTCAGAAAACATAAATGTAGTGCAGGTCCAAGAACTGATAGTTTTGATTGCTGCAAAATCTTTTTGTGGACCACTTGAATGGAATTTGCAGGCAAGAGGCAATTTAGTTTCTAGCCTCTAAAGCCCAATCGAAAAAAAATACTTCTGACAGTTTTCCTAACATTCCACAATTCTATTCTAGCAGCCTCCTTTGAGCTCATATTCCTGCATTTTTTGCAACATAGTAGCATTTTAGAATGTCACTTGTGCTTGCTGGAGCTAAATCGTTTACTTAGCTGTATGATGCAGCTTTGATTGCGTATTAAAAGACCTACCGTATTGGCCCCGATAGAAGCCTCCCCGGAATATAAACTGCTCCCTTAAAATTCTGCAGGCACTCACATCACACCCGTTCTGTTTTACCGTATGTCTGTTTCAGCAGTGATATCGTAAAAGCCAATTTTTGTAAGGTCGCAAATTTAAGCCGCACATTAACTTTTCACGGTCGGAATTTGTAAAAAAAGAGGCTTATACTCCGGCCAATACGGTATATACATAATGCATATTCTAAATTGTTGTGATACGTTTTTAGTTCTAACACTGTTCCAATATAATTGGTGTTTGGAAGTTAAAATAATGGACATTAAAATATGCCTGTTTTACTTTTTGAAGGCTCTGAATGTAATTTATGGTCTGTTAAAATTAGTAGGGAAACCTTCACACTGACCATTGTAGATCTAAATTGTACCCTTTCTACAGAATTCTGCATAATTCTTATTCTCTGCAGGCAGCATGGCAACAATTAGTTAGTTATTTTGCAATACTTTGGGTAACAATATTTATGTTTTGTTTTCAATTTGCTCCCTCAGCTGCAGGTGTGTTTTGCTTCTTGAGATTTTGAATTATTCTAGTCCAGCTCAACACCCTTTGTCAAATTAGAAATAGGATGCTGAGTTTTGTAACTATAGGTTACTACACTATTTTTTATAAATAAAGGTTACTACACTATTTTTTATTTTCGGGAGTTTGGGTTTGGCTTCACAACTGAGATGCCACTAATGGCTGTGTTTCAAGTAGATACCCTCATCATTTGTATCCCAAAAGAAGAATAAATCAAGTTTCCTATAATATACTCCCCATAATTTACCGTCTGTAACATGACAGATTAATTGTATCTTTTCCAGACTGAATCAGCTCTTGCCAAGAATTACCCTGGGAAGAAAGTGTCTAGTACTAACAACACTCCAATTCCAAGACTGACATCAAATCCATCCAGAGTTGATCGCTTAATTGTGGATCAGTTACGAGAACAAGCCAGAGTGAGTTATTTAATGTCAAAATACCAAATTTTGACTAGTTTGGACCCTTCACGCCCAAGACCTTATCAGCCTCTTCTGCTCCCCAAACTGGCACAAGTATGCCTCTAATTCTGTCTCTCCTGAACATCGGAATTGTGATGCTAGATGTTCCAAACACAAAACGTATATGGTTGTTGGAGGGTATCCGCATACGGGTTGTTCCTCCCAATTGTTCCAGTTGGGAGGACAATGCAAAATAGCTTTGTGTACTCCATTCTGTGTGAGGCAGAGCCAGTCCTAATTCCAGTTCTATCTGTCTACAATTTACAAAACCTTGGCAGAGGCAACAGATTAAAAAAAAGGAGACATTTTGTCTGCTTCTTGGCTTCAGACCCTACTAGACTGGTCTTCACAGCGTAGGAAACCCCAGCAGTGCCTTCCCTGATCCTCGAGCCCTTTGGGAAGCAGAAAGGTTAGAAAGGCAACGCACTCCAAAGTCGGACCATTTCATCCATGCCTGAAAATTGGAACAAATCACACAAAATGAAATGAAAACACAGGGCCAAACTACATGTGTGCAAATGGAAGCTCAGTGGCTTCTTCTTTGCTTTGCTCCAAAAGCTGCTTGAGAAATGGCAAGGAGGAGGCACTTAAACCTGTCTCCATCTCAAATTACCTCTCTAAGTGAAATATGACAACCTTAATGGGGCTGAAGTTCCAGGCAAGTTGGGAGAAGTGATGTAGTAGATCAGAGGGCATCAGAGATGTCCTGTTTCAGTCTTGTAAAGCAAGGATTGGATTAGTACCCAGTGCACATGAACTCACATCTTACAGCAGGCTGCACACAAGAATACCTGCACATTCAACTGTAGAAAAGGTGTTTGGTTGTAGGGAGTGGGAACTGGAAAAAAGGGAGAAAAGTTCAAAAAGTTGGGGAAGTGATTATGTAGTTTGGTTCATAGTCTTCTGACCTACTTTGGATTACTTGATTAGCAAGGCAGCGCTTATCTTCTGAAAAGTCATTTCATAGGGAAATCTGGTCATTTTTCACCATGCATTTCTTTTGAGGTCCTGATCCAAAATGGGTTATCAAAACTTTCCCTTTGCTTTCCTGGCCAAACCTCCTGGCACTGTCCTTTCTGAAGCTGTCAGTGTAGTTCTTAATCTGTTTTCTGTAGGTTCCCACAGCCAACCTGGTAAACCTCCTATAGGCTAGTCGCTTTCCCTTGCCCCCCAATCAAATCCATATGTTCCTTCGTTGAGTTAAACCAGATATATTTATTTGCCTTAGAACTGCATGGCTTTGCTGGCATGAAAATGTGGTTCTCCCGTGTAAAAAAACCCCAATAATTTAACAGAATTCATTGGGATATGGGATGTTTTCCTTCCTTGGTGAATTTAGTTTTGATTGATATATACATACAGGCAACTCAAAAGTTCAACAAAGGGCAAGGATGTAACAATTCAGAAGTGTGCCTTGAATTTATGCTGTTTGAATTTTAGTGCTTTCTGTACTTTGGGGAAGAACTTGGTTGTGCCTTGCTGGATTCAAGAGGGTAATTAGCAGTGAAGGCTGATACATTAGAGCACGCCCATCAGTCTTGATTTCTCCAGGCCCACCTGCCTTCTCATTTACAACCAGTTCCAGAGGGTGGCTGTGGCTATCTGCTTCCCCCTTAGCTTCAGTTTTCCCTTAGTTGGTGCCACCTCCATTTGGTGTTGCGCCCCTTTTAAAGCAGAGGTTGTATGGCCATCTGTCAGGGGTGCTTAGTTGCAATTCCTGCTGCATTGCAGGGGGTTGGACTAGATGACCTTTGGTAACACCTTCCAACTCTACATTTCTATGATTCCCACCCTACAAGTCCCAGTGACCATCTACCACCACTGGTGATAAAGTTTGTAGCTTAAGAAACATGGTTTTATATTTATGCATTGTGCCTTGATAAACTGACAATTAAAAAAAATCAGTAAAGCAATGCATTATAATTTCCTGGAACTAACCTTTAACTAAACTATTGGTGTACAGCTGAATTAAACTTCAGTATTACATTATGACTTTGGTTCTAAATACCCATTAGAATTGTTTAAGACTACAGTATGTTGTTAAAGTGAATTAGGAATCAGCCTTTTCAGTGCCAGGATAGCATTACTTAGGAACCCTATATAGGTTTATGTTAAGATTATTTTGAAATCAACAGGGTTCAAAACTTTAGCTTCTCATTTGCATTAGATGACCTTGAAACGCTTAAATTAAAAAACCCATCTTGCTATATGACTTGGGGATCTGCTCTTTGAGAAACACAAGACCAAAAGCTAGTTACATGGTTCCGATTTAAATGAGATGTTTGTAGCTGTGGATTTATAGACAGACATCAACATACCTTATAAGAACTGCTATATAGGAAGGAAGAGAACTATGAAAGAATTTAAATTGCTCTTCTTTAATATTTGCAGGTTGTGACTCTGCTGGGAAAAATGGAACGCCTGCGAAGTTCTCCTCTTCATGCTAACATCTCTACTGCTCTTGACAAGCACCTGGAAGCAATTCACATTGTGCAGTCCCGTAGAAAGGATGAAATTGTCAATGCTTCACATCGGCAAAGACAAGGAGCTCCCAGATGTCAAGATGATAGAGGTGCACTTTTCTTTTAATATTTGTTCTCCCAGTTTCTCTGCCTGGAGCTGTTTCAGGGCTTTTGCTCCAAATAAGAGAGGCATGTTTAATATTTGGTTGAAATTTACACACCTAGCAAAGAGTAAGCACATTGTGTACTAGATAACAATTTCCAAAGTAGTATTAGATTCAGTAGGATTTCACCAAGGCTGCTTTGGAGTACAGTGGTACCTCGGGTTAAGTACTTAATTCATTCCGGAGGTCCGTACTTAACCTGAAACTGTTCTTAACCTGAAGCACCACTTTAGCTAATGGGGCCTCCTGCTGCTGCCGCGCCGCCGGAGCACAATTTCTGTTCTTATCCTGAAGCAAAGTTCTTAACGTGAAGCACTATTTCTGGGTTAGAGGAGTCTGTAACCTGAAGCATATATAAGAACCCGAGGTACCACTGTAAATGATTTGATCACTACAATCCAAGAATTGCTGTGCAAACAAATTCTTTTGACTATGGTGTATTGACTGCTAAATCAGTTTACTGCCATATACTGTAAGTCTCCCCTGGCACTTTTGGGTTTTCATTACAGTGCTAAACATTGGTACAAGGTTCAGAGTTGAGATGCCAGATTACTTGATGCAATGCATCCAGAATGTCTTCTGGAATTAAAGAGTGGTATTCCATCATGTACACTGGTTCTTCTTTCATGCTGTTCTTTTTTACCCAGGGGTCAGCAACCTTTTTCAGCCGTGGGCTGGTCCACTGTCCCTCAGACCATGTGGTGGGCCAGACTTTATTTTGAGGGGGGAAATGAATGAATTCTCATGCCCCACAAATAACCCAGAGATGCATTTTAAATAAAAGCACACATTCTACTCGTGCAAAAACACCAGGCAGGCCCCACAAATAACCCAGAGATGCATTTTAAATAAAAGGATACATTCTACTCATGTAAAAACACGCCGATTCCCAGACTGTCCGCGGGCCGGATTGAGAAGGCGAATGGGCCGCATCCGGCCCACGGGCCTTAAATTGCCTACCCATTTTTACCCACCATATGAAACAGTGGTAATTGGAACACTCTGAATTATGTTAGTGGAATGCACGAAAAAAACACTCCACCACTCTTTTTTAAGGAGAATTAGGAGACCCAAACTCCTTTAAGGAGCGAGAACTTGTACTCACAGATGTCTTCTGCACTCACTACTTACAAGGGACTTCATGGAGAATTTAGTCTCTAGGCCCTGCCAATAGTAGGATTTCCCAGCCTTTCATCATCCCTAAGAGATGTTTATCCTTTATAAGACAACTATCAGTTATTGTTTACATGACTTGTAGGGAAAGCTGCTTCATTCACATTATGCTTGACTGATTAGCTCAGAAATCTTTATCTCCTTGAATATCTCTTGCAAATGGATTATTGAAATAATGGGAGGTATGCAAAAACACAAATGTAAGTTTAGCTGTTTAGCTGTTTCTTTTTGCTTCACTGAGTCTTTGAAGAAGTTCCTTGTGGATTCTGTTCTTTAGGGAGAGAATGTGTATTTGGCATTCATAATTTGCATACCTTGCATTTCTACCACTGTTCAAACTGACAGGAATTATTCTTGTACAACAGCCAGTGAAAGCAGCAAAACATTAATGCAGTTTTCTGTGCTAAAGTACACAATTTTGAACACTTCAAAAGAGTAGCAACATCAAATATTGTTTCCCCCCCATCTCAGATGTTTTTGCTCTTGCGCTGGCCATTAAAGAGATGTGCACAGCAACACGCAAAGCTCGCACTACGCTGTGGTGTGCCCTTCAGATGACCTTGCCAAAAACAACCCCGACAACTGGAACAGCGGATGTGGAAAAAGCCTTACATGAGCTAGTCCTACCTGAAGATAAGACCTATGAACAGATGAATAGTGGCAACCCTGCGATCCAGAGGGGAGAAACAAAAAAACATTGAGGAAAAAATAGAGATAATAGATATGGATGTATTATAGCACTGTACTAAATATTGTAAATGAACTTTTAAAGCTTTCCTTCCAAATTAAAAGTAAAGAGATATGTGAACTGAAGTTTGCTTATCCTAAACCCAGCAGCTACCTGCTGAGTAGCTGTTAACGCAAGCCAAGAAGCCTTTGATGTTATCAGAATCAATATATTGACTGGGCAGATCTAACGTTATGTTAAATAAATCAGAAAGTTTTAAACTGCCAAAGTAGAACTTAAATCCATTCTACAGTGCAGGCATATGCAATGATCATTCTGCCTGTGTGATACAGTTCTTTTAGATTTCGTTAGTAATTCTGTTTTCAAATAATGAATTTGAATTACTGTCACATGTTACTGTGTGCAGTCTAGTAACAGATAAGTTTTGATTGTGATAGAAAAAGAATTTGTTCTCTTTAGACAATGAGTACCTGGAAACAGGAAGGAAACAAAGCTAAACATACCCAGTATGAATGTTAAATGAAAATATTTAAAAATACTTATTTATGAATTTGAAATCTTAAGAATCTAAAAGAAATTGACCAGATTTTCTTAAATTAGTGATATTATATAAAGCCATTATCTAACCATGCATGTTAGGGAACATTAAAAAAAAACTTGCAAAAATCATTTGTACCTATTTTAAATAATATCAATATTATCTGTTAAAAGTATTTAAATGTGATCAAAATTACATTTATATAATTGAGCCTTTAGCAGTTGCACTGCAGCTGAAATAATGAATATTTTAACACCCTTGGTTTACTACTTTTAAAGAGGGTATCAAGAAGTTCTGAAGTGCACTTTCTTTGACGTTAACTCTTTAGCCAGTTTGGTTTGAGATTGTTTGGTGTATATTTTGTTTTCTTAGTTTGCTTCTGCATACTTTAGCACTGTTGAATGCTTGGTTTTTTTTTCTTAATATCTGATCTTTTTATTGTATGTGAGTAATTTATTCAATTAGCATGTTATTATGTGGCTCAGGCGATCTTGGGTTTTAACAATCTAGCATGAAGATAAATACATAATGTCTGGATAAAATTTACTTATCTACCCTTGGTTAGGTACACAGATATTTTAAACATCTGTGTTCTTCCAACTTTTAGAAATCCCGGTATGCTAAAAAGTGTAATCAAACTACAAATTGCCTTTAGATGATGTAAGGGACTGATTGAGATTGCAGGAGAAACTGTAGGGGACCATTTTGATCATTGATACGACTTTCCATGCTGCCCACATAAACTTCATAAGGCAGCAGACTCATACCACCATACCATAGTAGCCACAAAGATGGGTTGAATTTTGACATTGATACGTTACATGTTATGAAAATAAATATTGTACTATCTTTACTCTCGCCTAATAAACTGGCTTTTTGTTGAAAAGAATGCTACAGTTTCTACGTTTGTATTCCTATCTTTGGAAGTAATTCAGGCTCTTGCTATCAAGAGTTTTATGTCAAACCTGAGGCCTCCATAGCAGATCATGTCCCTCTCTGTTTTATCACTACAGTGGTGCCTCGCAAGACGAAATTAATCCGTTCCGCGAGTGTCTTCGTCTAGCGGTTTTTTCGTCTTGCGAAGCAACCCTATTAGCGGATTAGCGCTATTAGCGGTTTAGCGGCTATTAAAGGCTTAGCTGCTAAAAGGCTATTAGCAGCTTAGCGGCTTAGAAAAGGGGGGGGAGCGGAAAAAAAATCTCAAGACTCGCAAGACATTTTCGTCTTGCGAAGCAAGCCCATAGGGAAATTCGTCCTGCGAAGCAACTCAGAAACGGAAAACCCTTTCGTCTAGCGGGTTTTCCGTCTTGCGAGGCATTCGTCTTGCGGGGCACCACTGTATTTCCAAGACTGACCGTGAGTCACCACAATTATAGAACACCTTCCCTTTTAAACAACTTGACAAAAGTCCGATCTGAGCAACTTTCAGAAACCACACAAGCCATTTCTTGTGAAGATGTAGGTGCTGAGGTTAAACGGGCATTCTGGAAGACTGGTGGCTACAATTGTCGATCTGTACTTAAATTATAGACAGCTGCATACTAGAACACAAGGCAATACTTTCCACTTCATTTTTTGAAGTAAAATTTACAAGCTTCCAGAAGTCTGAAAGTCACATTTGAAAGAACTTCAAATCTGTAAGGCAGAATGCCCTCTGTAAATATCACCCCTGAGATGCCTGGGCAGGCTTTTATGGGCTACACCTACAAAGACATGTGAATGCCATCTATTAGTTGTCATTCAGATATTAAGTGCCTTCTCTACTGTATATATGGCCCACCTTTAGTTATTGATACAATAATGTGGAACACCCTAGAATCCACCTGAGATGAGTCTTCCATTTTTCCTTCCAACTCCTTGTTCACCAAACTTAATCCATCTACTGAAAGCAGTTTCGTTCCCTTGGCAATAAACAGCTTTCTATAAATGAAATCATCCTTGATAGCGCAAACACACACCAAAGATGGAGGGAGGGAGGTCCATGATGGTCATGTTTTCAGAGGGCTCAATAGGTGCCTCATGAACAAGACATAATGTCCTTGGTGCCTCATACCTCAAGGACAGCCTTCTCCTTGTATGAACTGACCCAGACACTATGATCATCATGTGAGGCCCTTCTTTGTGTGCCTCCTTCATGGGAGGTCTGGAGGGCGGCAACAAGAGAGTGGGCCTTTTCTGTGGTGGTTCCATTTGTAGAATGCTCTCCCCAGGAAGGCTCGCCTGGTGCCTTCATTACATATCTTTAGGTGCCAGGTGAAAACATTCCTTTTCTCCCAGGACTTTGGCTAATAAAACAATATGTTCTTTTAAATGGGGGGAGGGTAGTGGTTAATTTTTGTTCTTGGTTTTATTATGAATTTTCTCATTTTGTATTTTCATGTTGTGAACTGCCCTGTGATTTTTGGGCAGTATATAAATTTAATTAATTAATTATAAGACAGAATGTGACCTTGGCAAACCAAGATTAGGAGGTTATTTTACTACTAGGCGATTTGCTCCATTTCCCTGGTCCCAGCCAAGCTCTCTCTTTTTCGTTCCCACCCAGGGTTACATTGTGCCAGGGTTTAGCTCAGGAACCTGTTTTCTCAAGTCTGATGGCAGAAGTTCCTCCTTTTCCTTCACTGAAAATCCCAGGTCCCTTTTTTTCCAGCAGCTTCAGAATTCTTCCACAGAGCTCTCAAAGAAAAAAAGACTGGCCTGATAAAAAGTCTGAATGAGGCAGATTTTTCCTCTTTAAGATGGAAAGGGAAGCAGCAACTAAGATCCTCCAGTTTAAACTTAGTCATATACCCTTCACCCAGATTCACTTCTCCTGCTTGTTCTGCCATTGTCCATCTGGACTAGGACTGAGCAATATCTTGATATATTGTCCAAAACCATTTTGAGTCTGTATCATGTTCACGGTTTCATTGTTTTTGACCTGGCAATATACTGCGAATCCTGGTGTGTCTGCGCACTATGCAGAAATCACCATGTGGGAGAAACAGTGAAGACAGCCAATGCTTCTACGTAGCTCCATCCTTATTTCAGACATTGTGATATATCGCAATGTTGAAAACCAAATATTGCCCAGCCCTAATCCGGACACTCTGGCCCTTAGCTTCACTATCTTCCAAGAGTAAGGTAAAGGTAAAGGACCCCTGGATGGTTAAGCCAGGTCAAAGGTGACTATGGGGTGCAGAGCTCATCTTGCTTTCAGGTCGAGCGAGCCAACGTTTATCCATAGACAGCTTTCCGGGTCATGTGGCCAGCATGACTAAACTGCTTCTGGTGCAACGAAACACCGTGATGGATCCACACAGCTGAAACACCGTGATGGATCCACACAGCTCTCCCTTTCACTGGGAATTTTAACCCTGGCAAACTATCCTTTCTCACAGACTCTGGGCTGTGAGCAACCTGTTACAAACAGCTTTGGCCCCTATGTCCCTCTATTCCAGCTCAGCTTTACTGCAGTATATGACAAAGAGCTAAGGATTCAAACATGTCACGTACTAATAAAATTCACAGAACTTTACTTAGATGGCAATAATACAACCTTGTAGAAGTTTAGAGATTTACTAGCCCAGCCCCAAATGAGAAGAAAAAGAAACAAAAATTAGGTGACACGTGGCTGCAGAAGATTACGGGTGCTGCACTAGGCTCTTAATTCAACTTCATAAAGGGTGTTGCCTCTCCCTGGCGTACATACGTAGGAAACTGGGTTTCATTCACAGTTCCACCAACCAAAAGCAACCTTTGGCTAGAGTGAATATATAAAGGGGTTTCCAAATATTTCCCTCAGCCATACAGTTTCCCCATATGTAGTTAATAAAAATAGAAAGTGACGAGGGGAGGGGGAAGGCAGCCACCACACAGTTCTTTGGTTACAGATGTTGGCCACGACCACTGAGCCCAACAAATTGGACAAGAAAAATGTGTGTAGTTTTCTTTCAGTGCTTCAGAGGACTCCCTTCACCCCTCCCCACAGTCCTTGCCTGGGACAGATCTGCAGCTTTGAAAGCCCACACACCAAAGTGTTTGAAAGGATTCCTTCCTCTGAGCACTCTGGGTCTGCGTGCATGCTGTGCCATATAACAGACAGAGGGGAGGGGAGGGAAGAAAAGAGAAGAGTCCAGCTGTAGTTCCGCGCTACCGCTTCCTCTCGCCTTTCTGTGTTCTCTTCTTCTCTTTCTCCTTACGTTCTTGCTTTGCCAACTTGTCCTTCTCCCGCTGGAGTTTGTCTTGCTCCTTCTTCCGATGCGACTCGTCCCGCAGATGCTCTCTTTCCAGCTTCCGGGCATTCATAACGGCTTCCAGGTTTGTGTTTCTGAACAGAGCTGACAAGGAGGGAGTTGAGGAGAACAAGGAACTCGACACACAGAGTGAATTATGAGCATCATTCTTCCTGCGACTGGCACATCAAAACAACTGACCAAAGCTGGTTCATGGAAAGATTTAGAGCAGGGGTCAGCAAACTTTTTCTGCAGGGGCCCAGCCCACTGTCATTAAGACCTTGTGGGGGGCTGGACTATATTTTTTTGGGGGGTAAATCCCCCCCACGACTCTCCCCTCCCTTCTCCACAGCACCGGATGAGCCCTGGTGGATGCTTACCTGTGCCATGCGAGCAGCAGGGACTGGCGGCACAGAGGGACGATGAGCAGCATGAAACGGCTGGCTCCAGAGGGGCTGCTCTGCTTTAAATAGCGCTCAGCCAACCGCAGCACCTGTGCCTTGCGAATGGCGGCGGCAGGACAATAAGTGGCGCAAAAGGGCTTGCTCCAGAGAGGGGCTGCTTAAAATGGTGCTCAGCCAACCGTGACTCAACAAAGCCCAGCCCCCTTCCTCCTCTAGGCAGGGCGGGAAGAAGCCAGGAGGAGGGAGGGAGGAGGCGCTGCCGTGGTGTAGGGGGGGCGGGAATCGCACAGCCCAAACGATCAGAATCCCCATGCCGATCCACGTGGCGATTCCCGGACCGTCCGCGGGCCGGATCCAGAAGGCAATTGGGCCGAATCCGGCCCCCAGGTCTTAGTTTGCTAACCCATGATTTAGAGTCTGGGATCCCTGCATTCAATTCCCACATTTTCCTCATCTATACCCTTGATTTCCATTGACTTTATCTCAACCAACCTCACTTGTACTGAGAGGTAATACAATGAAAACTATACAGTGGCACCTCTGGTTGCGAAAGGGATCCGTTCCGGAGGCCCATTCACAACATGAAAGGAATGCAACCCACAGCAGCGCGCCTGCGCACACGCAGGTTGCGATTCACTGCTTCTGCGCATTATGTCATTTTGCGCGTTTGCACATGTGTGAGTGGCGAAACCCGGAAGTAACCCTTTCCGGTACTTCCGGGTTGCCGCAGGACGCAACCTGAAAAAATGTAACATGAAGCAAACGTAACAAGAGGTACGACTGTATAGCAACTTGGAAATTAGGAAGTGCTATATAAATTACCTGTAATATTTGTCGTATGAGCTACAGTAACCAGGCCAATTTAGCTTACAAGAAACACATGAAACCAAGCTAGACCAGCATCCGACTACTGGCAGATTTTTTCCTATAACAGCAGATATAAAACGACTCCATAACTCACTATCTACAGCTTGCAACCCAATCACCACCCAGTAAGATTGTTTCATCCTTGCCTTCTCAAGATTTCCTTCCAGAGATTCCATACTATATACAATTGCTACCCCCTCAGACCCAGTATTCCCTGCCAATTACTACCCCACTTTTGTTCTCAAATAAGTCAACATTCCCCATCTCACATTACTAATAATATTGTGGCCTCAGAATACCCTATTTGTAAGGATACATTTTTCGGAACTGACGGTCACTGCTGCTGCCCCAGGATCATCTTCGCCATCTGCTTCAGTGCGCCGAGTTAAGGGCATTTGGTCACTAATTAAGATTTGGGTGATAAGGAATGCTGTGGTGGGAGAGATGTTCTGGTGACGACACGGCATGACCACAACCCCCAAAAAATGACTGTGAAGCCATATAAGACACTGAAATCTGATTCCCCATTGCCAGAATATTCTGAAGACATTTGAGGAGTATGGCAAGAAGGAGATATCCAACCTCTGCTTCTTCTCAGAAGCTGACAATCAGATTCCTAGCCATTACAGCTCATAGGCAACAATAAGCCTGATGTTCATGATTGTGTCTAGTCCGTTTTGGAAGCCATCTGCACTTGCACTCATCACAGCATCTCAAAGCAATTTTTTCTGTTAGTTTGCCTGACCAGTCCGCACCAGTTGGATATGTGACAATCACAGGCTGCCAATGTAATGGTGCGTACTGCAATGAAATAAAAACCTATTTTCCATCTGATGGACTGCCGTTGTTGAAATCTGTTTTAAGGGACAGTTTCAGATCTCTTATTACCCCTCATTAACCCATTAATACACACACTGACCCACAGTGAATGTTCTTAGAGTCCAAGGCAGAGAACTTTACTATAAATATTCATGTACAGTGGAACCTTGATTCTTGAACTTAATCCATTTCGGAAGTCCATTTGACTCCCGAAATGTTCGAAAACCAAGGTGCGGCTTCCGATTGGCACAGGCAACCCGGAAACAATAGCTGACAGCCGCATCAGATGTTCAGCTCCCCAAAAAAGTTCGAAAACCAGAACACTTACTTCCAGGTTTTCGGCATTTGGGAGCCGATTTGTTCGTCAACTACGCCCTTTGAGAACCAAGGTTCCACTGTATACTGTAATTTACTGTATACTGTAAACTAAGTTCATGGGGCAGAGCAGGCTATAAAGACCTCAAGGGCTTCTCTCCATAGGAATGCGGACCCCAAGATCATCTTTTGAGGCCCTTCTTTGTGCACCTCCTCCATGAGGTCCAGAGGATGGCAACGAAAGAATGGGCCTTTTCTGCAGTGACCCCCCTGTCTGCGGAATGCTCTCCCTAGGGAGGTTCGGCTGGCACCTTCATTATACACCTTTAGGCGCCCGGCAAAAACATTCCTCTTCATACAGACCTTTGGCTGACCAACATCCAATGCTCTTTTAAAATGTGTTGGGAAGGAGGAGGATTATTGGGTTGTGCATATATATATATATATATATATATATATATATATATACACACTCTGTGTTTTTAAATTGTGATTTTATGTTGTGACCTCCCTGAGACCTGCGGGCATAGGGAAGTACAGTGGTACCTCTGGTTACGTACTTAATTCGTTCCGGAGGTCCGTTCTTAACCTGAAACTGTTCTTAACCTGAAGCACCACTTTAGCTAATGGGGCCTCCTGCTGCTGCCACACCACCGGAGCACGATTTCTGTTCTCATCCTGAAGCAAAGTTCTTAGCCCGAGGTACTACTTCTGGGTTAGCGGAGTCTGTAACCTGAAGCGTATGTAACCTGAAGCATACGTAACCCGAGGTACCACTGTATACTTACTTACTTACTAACTAACTAACTAACTAACTAATAATAATAATAATAATAGAGGGGGAAAGGAACCCATGGACTCCAGCCCCAGAGTTAATGGATCAGCCAGCCAGAGAGTAGATTCAACATGATTTGGGAATTTGCAGCACAAAGGATATTCCTCATCATCTGTCACCTCAGCATACTGTGCCAGGAGGGCAGCCTTCTGTAGTGTCTCTTCCTTGGCGACCTCTTTGGGCTTCACCACGATTTGTGCCTGTTTTTCAATTATGTTAGCTATAGCTTGGATCTCATCTGGGAAGGAAAGGGGACAAAGCAAGGGTAAAGAAAGAGAAGTCCATGATCACCCTTCAACAACAACAACAACAACAACAACAAGGTTTATACCCTGCCCACCTGGCTGGGTTTCCCCAGCCACTCTGGGCGGCTCCCAACAGAATATTAAAAACATGATAAAATATCAAACGTTAAAAAACTTCCCTAAACAGGGCTTGCTTCAGATGTCTTTTAAAAGTCAGATAGTTGTTTATTTTTATTTCCTTGACATCTGATGGGAGGATGTTCCACAGGGCAGGTGCCACTACCATTAAGGCCCTTTGCCTGGTTCCCTGTAACCTCACTTTTCGCAGCCCTCGGAGCTGGAACTCAGTGTCTGGGCAGAACGATGGGAGTGGAGACGCTCCTTCAGGTATACCGGGCCGAGGCGGTTTAGGGCTTTAAAGGTCAGCACCAACACTTTGAATTGTGCTTGGAAACACACATAGGCGAGCTGAGTCCTATTTGAATCTCACCCTTGGGGGCTTATGTTCTGTAGTTACAGCACAGCCAAGATACTGGAGAGGAACAGCTTGTGGCCAGTTTTCATGTGCTATTTTAAGCACAAGGCGAGTAACGTTTGGAATCAACATCAAAACAGTTTGGTATTTTAAGCAGGCCCCTAAAATAACTTCTCGCCCAACTCATCCCAAATTGCTTGCCCGAAATGCATTTTTCAAATCTTGCATCACTTCCAGAAGATATTCAAGCTCTGATGACACATGGAGGGCAGCATAAAATGCTGCTTTGAGCTGAACACAGAAATCATGAAAGATGAAGGTCAGACCCAAGTCATTTTAAGAACACTAGGCATATTCCTACTACTCTTAAATAATTTGATTTTTAAAAATATGTAAACATCATTACATCCATATGTATTTATACGCAAGTGTTGTACATACAAGCGTTCATAATATATTAGTGTTTAAATTTGTCATTTTACACACGTGAAATCAAGACCATCTTTGTATTTCCTTAGCTTGTAGATTAAAAGAGGAGCCTATTGATCAGGCAGCACATTACAGTATTTTACATGATTAAGGAAACATATCACAGGACTGCATATTGCATTACTAGCATTGCTCCTATTATCTGTGTAATAATTCTCCAGTAACGTTAAATGTTTTCCCACCACAAGTGGCTCAAGTCTCCTGTTGCTGCTTTGCAGTACCAACATCTGCTTTCTGTACCATACATCTTTTGTATTTTCGAAGGCAAAAACCAATGTTCTGTTATAGCCAGACCTATGGAAAAATATCAAACTTTTATCAAACAGATAAACCTATTAACTTCTCGATAACTAATAAACCTTTCTGCCATTTATTCACAGAAGGCTGAAAAATCCTTCTTAAGTCTATTGTTTATAATCATGTAGGTCTCAAGTACTGTTGGTTTAGTTGTACTGCTATAGTTTTGAATTTATGTTTTAATATTTTATTTTATATATACACTGTTTTTACTGCAAGCTGCCCAGATAACTGTGTTATGGAGTGGTATATGAGTGCCACCAAAAAATAATAATAATAAATTATAGGAAATGCATGCAATATAGAATAGGGGGTAATTTTTCCTTTAATCTGTAATTGTTCTTCAGATTTATTTTATTTTACTTATTTGTTTTATTTATCCTGTCCTTCCTTGCAAAGGAGCTGAGGCAGACAAACAATAAAGCATTTTAAAAAATTATTATAAACAATTCCAATAAAGGTGCAGGCTGAGAAAGATCTCAATTTAAAAAGCTTGTTGGATAGAGGAAGGGCTTCAGTAGGTGCTGAAAAGCCAACAGAGACGGTGCTTGTCTAATATTCAAGGGGAGAGAATTCCAAAGGGCAGATGCCACAACACTAAAGGCCCAATTCCTACATTGTGCTGAACAAGACCTCCTGACAAGACAGTGTGTGCAAGAGAGCCTCATCTGCAGAGTGAAAACAATTTTTCTAAAAAGCTTCCGTTATTGTTCCAGGGAACAGATGCCTGACAGATCAAGGGGGAGGGAAATAGGAAATAACAAATAGGGTAAGGGCAGATATGGGAGAAAAGACTTTAAAGTTTTGATCCAATAAGTTGAAAGCCACGCAGAAAGCATCCAGCAACCACTCCAGTGATGCCAAAAGGAATGTGAAATACCTTCTTTCTTTTCATTACTTCCATCATTTTGGGCCTTTGACCACCTTTCAACTATTTCTCTGCAAACTTCTTGTAGTACATCTTCATCCTGATTAAAAGAAAAGATGCCTGTCAGTGGAAGAAAAAGGCTTGTCCATCACAAAGACACAGTAAGAGACAACTTGGGAGGCTTGGAATGCCAAACCTGGACCTGCCCCCTGGCCAATTTTTTTTTAAGCCCTCATAGCCCTCCCAGAATTTAACCAAGGTGTAGCAAAAAGTTTAGCTTAGTTGTTTTTGTTTTTATTATGTATTTTGTGTTTTTTAATATTGTAGTTTTATGTTATGAACCGCCCTGAGATCTGCAGGTATAGGGTGGTATACAAATTGAATAAATAAATAAGAGAGATTGATACACTTTAAAGCAGGCTTCCTCAACCTCGGCCCTCCATATGTTTTTGGCCTACAACTCCCATTATCCCTAGCTAGCAGGACCAGTGGTCGGGGATGATGGGAATTGTAGTCTCAAAACATCTGGAGTGCTGAGGTTGAAGAAGCCTGCTTTAAAGCTACTTTGCTCTTTATTTTTACTTTGTACATCACAAGTCTGTAACATGTTTATATTTGTATGGTATGCTATGCCCGAGTGCAGGTAAAGAGACTAATTCACAGAGCGAAACACTCTTCAGGTCCACAGACTGATGAATGTTGTGGTAATACAAAATACAAGATCTTTGCTCTCTCTCTCTCTGAAGCATGATGGGAGTTACAACTCATGGAGAGAATTATCTGATAAAAGAAAATGGCTGGCATTCACAGTCTACCAACCTGGTCCTATGAGATGAATGAAGTGGGGGAACCTCCCAATAACGCAAGAAGCCTCAATGAGTACAGGTCCTCCATGTTTCAGAAGCTCACCCTTCAACCCACAGGGGGCCGAGGAAACACAACAAGAGAGAAGACAGGACTCACCACCACGGACCCATGAATAAGTTTGAACACCTGGGGAGGGCTATTATCTCTTTGGAACCCTTACGACAACCCTGCAAGGTAGATCAGCATTGTCCCCACATTGCAGATACGGGTGGAGGGGGAGCTGGTTGCGGGAGGCTTAAAAAGGATACCAACATACCAACCAAGTTCATGACAAGAAGCTAGATCAGGACCAGGACCAGTGTGTTGAAATTTCTGCATTGCAGGGGGGTTGGACTAGATGACCCTCGGGACCCCTTCAAACTGTACAATGATTATATGAGCCTTTTTAGCCAATACACCACACAAGACTCATTGCATGGGGCTACCTTTGAAGAAGGGACGTGGGTGGCGCTGTGGTCTAAACCACAGAGCCTAGGCCTTGCCGATTAGAAGGTCGGCGGTTCGAATCCCCGCGATGGAGTGAGCTCCCGTTGCTCGGTCCCTGCTCCTGCCAACCTAGCAACTTCAAAGTGAAGTAGATAAATAGGTACCTCTCCGGTGGGAAGGTAAATGGTGTTTCCGTGCGCTGCTCTGGTTCGCCAGAAGCGGCTTAGTCATGCTGGCCACATGACCCGGAAGCTGTACGCTGGCTCCCTCGGCCAATAAAGCGAGATAAGCGCCGCAACCCAGAGTCGTCCGTGACTGGACCTAACAGTCAGAGATACCTTTACCTTTACCTTTGAAGGTGACCCGGAAACTACAATTAATCCAGAATGTGGCAGCTAGACTGCTAACTGCGAGTGGCCACCGAGACCATTTTACCCCTGTCCTGTATGTTTCCGAGCACAATTAAGTGTTGGTGCTGACCTTTAAAGCCCTAAATGGCCTTGGCCCAGTATACCTGAAGCATCCTCTCCACCTCCATCGTTCAGCCCAGACACTGAGGTCCCAGCCCAGACACTGTGAGAAGTGAAGCTACAGGGAACCAGGCAGAGGGCCTTCTCGGTAGTGGCGCCCGCCCTGTGGAACGCCCTCCCATCAGATGTCAAAGAGATAAACAACTACCTGACATTTAGAAGACATCTAAAGGCAGCCCTGTTTAGGGAAGTTTTTTAATGTTTGATGTTTCATCGTGTTTTTAATATTCTGTTGGGACCCGCCCAGAGTGACTGGGGAAACCCAGCCAGATGGGCAGGGTATAAATTATTATTATATTGACTGAGATCCCCCACCCCCCCAAAAAACCCTCACAAATAGTTCTGTCTGGTTCAAGCTAACTTATGCTTTTAATGCTTGATGTTTTATCATGTTGGGAGCCGCCCAGAGTGGCTGGAGAGGCCTGGTCAGATGAGCGGGGTATAAATAAATTTATTATTATTATAGCGGACTCTCAGCTTGCGAACGTGATCCTTGCAGGAGGCACATTCACAACCCGCAGCGTTCACAACCTGCAGCGCCGCGTGTGCGCACGGGCGGGTTGCGATTCGGCACGGTGCGCAACCCGAAAACACGCAACCTGAAGCGTCTGCAACACGAGGTGTGACTGTATTATTATTATTATTATATATGCAGAGACCTTTCGGCGCCTGGGGCAAGACACAGATCGGGTCCAGCACCCTGGTGGGGTGGGAGGTGCATGTCACCCAAAACAGTTGCTTCCCTGGCATGCCAGCCACGTGAAGGCAGAAAGCAAGATCTGGGGGCTAGACTGCTGCACTTTTCTAGGCACCTTTCGACCACCCCTCACAACTGGCCGCCCGAGGCAGCTGCCCCCATGGCAGGGCCGGCCCTGTGGGGAGGAATCGAACCCACTCCTCGCTATCCAGATCAGCTCCCTCCCTCAGAAGTCACTCACGGGAGAACCTGGCTTCCAGGGGCGAAATAAGCTCCAGAACAGAGAGGCGGCACCCGCGACTGCCCGGGTCGCCTCGGCCCCCTTTCCCCCTCGGTTTCTCCCCTCGCGCTGCAATGCGGTGGGTGTCGCGCTCACCTGCTCCCCCGCCGCCAGCGCCCCCGCCAGCCCTTCCAGCCGCTCGGCGTCGCACTCGGCCTCGCGCAGCACGCCCCGTATGTACCCGCCGTACACGTCCCCGTCGAGACCCAGTGCAGCCAGGCGCCCCTCCAGCCACGGCTCGAACGCGCAGGGCGCCGCCATCTTGGCTCGCCACCAACCCTGGGGAGGAGGAGGAGGAAGCGCGCCTGCGCGACGGCGGCGGAAGCTGCGCATGGGCAGTACGGGCCAGCTCTCCCATAACCGCCTCCTCAGGAGGTTTGCAGAAAGGGCTGAGGCGACGCACGCGAAGAGCCGGTTTCTCTGTCAGGGCGCGCGGGACAAAAACAATGGCAAAAGAAACCAGCCCGTGTCGCTTCTTGCCGAGGGCGGTGAGAGAAAAAGAAGCGCGTTGCTGGGAATTCGCGAGGATATGTCACGGAGTTCATTCAGACGTGCTCAGAAAACCCGAGAGTTGCCCAAGTTGCTGCCATTCTGCGTGTCAGCGCAATACTCAAGTGCAGACCCTCTTTTCGCTCCATGGGCTACTTGCCCCCCAAGGAAGCGCCCCTTTGGTTGGGATTTAGCGAGAAACCCGCCTTGCAAACCGCCTCGGTGAAATGCTTTGGACAGATCCTGCTGCTTTCAGAGCGATCCTTGCTCGACGGTGCGCGCTCTCCCCTTCCTTGGAGGTTTTGAAGTAAGAGGTTTTTTTAGATGGCCATCTGTGATGGATGATCTAGCTGAGATTCCTGCACGTGCAAGGGGTTGGAGTAGATAACCCTCGGGATCCCAACTCCACAATTCTTTGCAGAGGGTTTTGCCATTTGGAGCGGCAGAGAAAGTCTGCTCCAGCCCTTTGTCCTGGCAGCCCTGGAATTCCTCACTTTTCCAAGATAAACATTACCCTGGAAAGATTTACTTTCCCAGACATAACGCACCTCACACCGTCCCAGTCACTCACCTGTTAACATGCTCCAGTTGGTCAATGTCCTCCTTAAATTGGGGCATCCAGAACATGGGCGTAGCCAGGAGGCGGGAGGGGGGCTGCTGCCCCCCTAAATCAAGTAAATAAATAAAAATACTTAACTGACTAATTGTGTTGCAGATAACCCAGTTCTGCCCACCCAACCCAAGCCTGGCCTCCAAAAAAATAAATCCTGGCTACGCCCATGATCCTGAACTAGTCAGTGTAGATTATCCTCATGGTTTTCTCAACAGTTTCCACTGTGGAAGGATGTGTGGATCCAGAATTAGCCTCCACAGTCACGGACTCACTGGTAAGACCGTGTTCATGGAAGACAATCTTACTCGGCTACGAGTGATCGTCAAAGAAGAAGAAGAAGAATGGAACTCCTATGTATACACTGTACGTTTAGAGCACATTTGAAGGACATTATTTCACCAAATAATTACTATATAGACACTATAGTTTGTTACAGGTTGCTGGGAATTGTAACTGATGGGTAAACATCAATGCCCAGGATTCTTGGAGGGAAACGATGTGTTTTGAATGTACATTAAAGGTATAGTGTTTTCACAAGCATAGACTCTTTTCACATGATCAGCCACCACCACCCATTTTTTAAAAATGAGACCAGCATACTCACCACCAGTCTCCTGGCATCTGACCCATTCTCCAATAATTCGGAAAGATCACTGTCAGTAGCTCTGAAATACAGTAAAGTATATCAATACAGTAAAACATCAAGCCAGCAGAGAAGGCAGTTTAAAACTGGCCTCAATAGTTGGGAAACACCTAAGAAGAAAGTTTTTATGAGGGGAACATACTGTCAAGGAGGAACAAGTTCTTAAAAATCCCCCATCCAAATTCAAATGGCAGGTTAAATTCAAATAGCTGTTCAATTTTTCTTATATTTACTTTAAAATACTAAAAACAGCTACAGTGCAATATTCAAATAGCAGGTCAAATGTATGGTGTTCAGCACAGGCGAGTGAAAACAATTAGTCTTTATAGCAACTGTAGGAGTCTGGCAACCAACCAGCCACCTGCCTCTGCTAGTCAATCGATTCCTGATGCATACCCCTGTCTGAGCCCACCGTATTTCAGATGTGTTTGTTCCACAAAACAGGTGCCATCGGAAGCCCCTTTAACACCCTGTATGTGCTGTAAAATGAAAATGTTCAGAAGTCATTAAATATATATATATATACTTGGAAAGATAGTGCTACACAGAATCAATGCTACACACACACACACCCAACTTAAAAAATGATTGCTTTGGGGTTTCCAGTATTCATTGCAACTGTAGTTAGGCTGGAAGGAAAAACCCCTGCTTGCTCTCCTAAATGAACCTGTCATTAATTGACAAACAAAATGCCTAGTAAGCTGTCTTCAACCCTTGTCATGTTGACACCTTTCCATTCATTCTGAATAATTCAGACATCCGGGAGGGTAAGAAAGAAATTGGCCTGCCCAGAGTGATGCTGAATGCAATGTCTGTACTCAGATTACTATGTAGAAAGCAAACACTCCATATCATTTGGCGTAGATTTCCCCACCTCCAACCCCAGTAATCTACATCAGGGTTGCCAGCCAGCCAAACAAAATTAGCTTGGCCTACTCTTCTGTCCATGATTAATAACTGCTTAAATGGATTAATAACTCTTAAATGGACAGTCAGACTGGAAGGGACCCTGAGGATCATCTAGTCCAACCCTCTTCTGGTGCATCATCTTTAAACTGGGCTTCAAGCATGGGCATAGCCAGGATTTATTGGGGGGGGAGGACCTCAGTTAAGTGATATATATATATATATATATGTACGGTATGTATGAATGACGTGGGTAGCGCTGTGGTCTAAACCACAGAGCCTAGGACTGGCCGATCCGAAGGTCAGCAGTTCGAATCCTGGCGACAGGGGGAGCTCCCGTTGTTCTGTCCCAGCTCCTGCCCACCTAGCAGTTCGAAAGCACGTCAAGTGCAAGTAGATAAATAGGTACCGCTCCGGCGGGAAGGTAAACGGCATTTCCATACGCTGCTCTGGTTCGCCAGAGCTCGCCACATGACCCAGAATCTGTCTGTGGACAAACGCCGGCTCCCTTGGCCTATAGAGCGAGATGAGCGTGCAACCGCAGAGTCGTCTGTGACTGGACCTAGTGGTCAGGGGTACCTTTACATATATGTATGTGTGTATATATATACACGCACACACACAGTGGTACCTCGGGTTAAGAACTTAATTCGTTCTGGAGGTCCGTTCTTAACCTGAAACTGTTCTTAACCTCAGGTACCACTTTAGCTAATGGGGCCTCCCGCTGCTGATATATATATATATATGGGGGTAGCTGCCCCCCCTGCCCTCCCATGGCTACACCCATGGCTTCAAGTGGACAGCCCTTTCAAAAGAGGACTGGTTCATGTAAATCAGGATACATCAGCGCCCCACCCTTGTGCCATGTGAGCCCATGGTTTTTTAACAGAGCCCGAAGCAGTTGACTTTCAGCCCCATAACCAATAAATCCATTGAGCTCCCAGTTAGTGGGTGGGAGAGCATAGCTACAGCATAGGATATGTAGCCTGTTTTATGAAGTAACCATGAATAACAAGGAAATCAGAGGCAGAGAGGTGGTGTTGAGTGACCCTCTCCGTCGCCTTTCACTTGAAACCGCGCTCTTGTTCCGTTTCCCAATGCATAACGCGATCCGAATTGCATCTGGAGGAGTTTCCTATGTAAGCCTCCCCCTCTCAAGCCCCTCCCTCTCCCCTCAGTTTTGCCCTTCCCGGCCGCCGTAGCTCACAAACTCTTTAACAACTATAGCTATTGGCAGGAAATTTAAACTTGGTTCATTGGCAGTTTCGGGAAAACAAGGTCTTAAATTCATGGGCGGATGAAAGTTTTGCATGTAAGTAAAAGGTTCGGTTTTTAAGGAATGCTGGCTGAGGATCCCATCCCACTGATGGGATCTGCTTAAAGCCTTTTACTCAATTGCATGTTTTTGGTCTCGTGAACGTGTTTGTTCACACATTATTGCTAAATAGCCTTCGCTACGTTAATGGGTCCCGCTGTGATTTTGCATGATGTTCCCCAGTGAATGCAAGAGTTATGATTCCCCAGTTACTCTGCGTGCTCCTCATTTATTTTCTTAAATGGACAACGTGCCTGCAAGGGCGGGTGCGCGGGGGGGGGGTCTGAAACATGCGGGTCATTGTGAAAAAAAAGCAGTTTTTGTCATGTGAATTTGGAGGAGAAGAAAGCTGTGAGTTGGCTGAGGCATGCTTGGGGTGCAGTTATTCTCTCTTTAAGGGCCTGTTACAGGGTTAGTGCATTTGACTGCTTTAATATGAGAAGGTTTTCTGGTCTGCAGTATAGCAGAACTTTTATCTGTGCTCTTGGGACCTCTTTGTTTTAAATATTCTTGGAGCTTCAGCAAATGTCCTTAGAAAGTGACAACTTCAAGGCTGATAACTTTATTTTCCTTTTATTTTAGCCTTCTGAAGTGATTGTTTTTTTATGCTGAGGATTCTGCTGGCCTAGCCCATCCCAGCTTTCTCTGCTAAAATGGCTGACTGGACGCTTCGGCATTGGCAAAATCTCGGTGAGTGAATGCACCCATGGGGTTATATTCAGCTCTCTTTCTAACTTTTACTCAGAGTAGACCCACTGAAATGAATGGCTATGGCAAACTTGGGTCCCTTAACTTTGGTGAGTCTGCTCTGAATAAAAGCTGAAAACAACACACAATCTCTAGATGAGGCAGAGTCCCCTAGCCAGCATAGATAACTGTGGATTTATTTTTATTTAAAATGCTTCTATGCTGCCTTTAAAAGCAAAAGCTCTCTCAAAGTGGCATTCATAAAAGCAGCCTAATGCAATCACAAATAAAAAAGATTGACAAGCCAATACATAATAAAACAGACAGATGAAATTAAAGTCCAATATAATCAAAATCAACAGCAGCAGGAAAACGCAGCAATTTCTTTTATTTCCAAAAATTGTCAAGGCAAGAAACTCGGCAAGAATAGTTGAGTTCTCGGATCTTTCCAAGAGTCCAGTTGAGAAAGAGTTCCAGAGCCTTGGGGCTACTCTGGGAAATGTTCTCCCCTTTCTATATGCCAATTTAATTGCACTTGGTGACAAGCAGGACTTCCACCTGTTCGTTTATAAAAATACTGTACTTACATACAACAATTTATTTAAAAAATTAAGTATGGCATATAACAAATATATATACAATAGAAACCAAAACCACAGATCACCAACTGACTGTAACAAAAATGATTTTTTAAATTGACTACAAAAACCTGGCAGCATAAAAGTTTTCCCAAAAAAGAGAGTAAAGATTAATACAGAATACACCTGCTGAATCTCTGTTGGGACAGTAATCCACACGATTGGGCTGATAACACTGAGGACTTGGTTTTGTGTTGATATCAGACGTTGCGCTCAAAGTGCTCTTGGGCCTTCAAATAACTTGGACCCAAACCATTTTAAGGCTTTAAAAGAGAAAGAAAGGATAAGGAGTTCCTTTCACATTTCATTTTTAATTCATTACCTGCTTTTCCGCACTGCTGTACTCAAGGCAATTTACAACCCATAGAAGTGATGAAATAATGTACAACATAAATCAGTAACAATTCAGTCCAATGTAAATAAGCCCTCATGAGTAGTGTTTTAAATCAGGTAATGTAAAATTCAATAGATGGTGAAATAATATCTACTAACAGAATATTGGCAAGTTATGGTTTTGATGCAGAGGAAGGGTGCTTTAGTCCCAGTGAAATCGGTGGGCACAACTGAAGTCCCATTGGTTTCAAAGGGACTAACACTGCAATCCTGTGCATGTTTACTCAGAAGTAAACCTTACAGTGTTCAGTTGGGCTTATACCCGGATAAGTGTGCATAGCATTGTAGCTTAAAGGATGGCTTAAGGCTGCAATTTGTACATTGTACAAATACCTCAGGTTACAGACGCTCCAGGTTGCATGTTTTCAGGTTGCGCACCATGCCGAACCCGTAAGTACCGGAACGGGTTACTTCCGGGTTTCAGCACATGCGCAGAAGCGCCAAATTACAACCTGCGCGTGCGCAGATGTGGCGCTGCGGGTTGCAAACGTGCCTCCCACACGGATCACGTTCGCAACCCGAGTGTCCATGTAGTATACACACTTCTGAGCAGACATATGTAGGGTTGCCCTGTAACTTTCTCTGGCTTCAACCCAATAATGAAACCAACTCACTCTGAATGATTACAATAAACCTTTGTTATAAACAGCAAAGATGCAATATATAGAACACCATCGATCTCACAAATGTTTAACATAGGGGCAAGGTCACATCAATTTACAACATTCTATTTATTTATTTATTAATTATTGCATTTATACCCTACCTTTTTTCCAAACGGTTCAAGGTAGTATACACTGTTCTCTTCCCATTTTATCCTCACAGCAATCCTGTGAGGTAGGTTAGACAGAGAGACAGTATCTAGCTCAAGGTCACCAAGTGAGCTTCTTAGCTGAGTGGGGATTTGAACCCAGGTCTCCTGGGGTAACCACTGTGGTGCCTTCCAGAAGTTGTTGACTACAACTCCCATCAGCCCCAGCCAGCATTGCTAATGGTCAGGGGTGATGGGTATCGTAGTGTGCAAGAACTGGAGGGCACCGTGTTGACTATCCCTGCTGCCACCACTACACCACACTAGCCCTTGGTGTGGCAAACAGAAATAGCTGGCAGAGGAAAACAGAGAAGAAAGCAATGTGATTGGACAACATCCCTCATTACTTTCCAGCCAGTCTAGATGTCCGCGCCCAGAAAACCCAGTTGAAAGCGACAAGGAAACGAGAGGAGGCTGCCCGTTCAGCCAGAAGCCGTCCTTTGGTTGGGAAATCTTTCTACCTGGACCTCCCCAGGGGCAAGAATCTGGAGTTTCTGGCAGAGAGTGTGAAGCAACTGGGTGGGGTGAGTACAGTGGGGTTGTTTCTCTTACTGGTCTCCGTTAGGAAAGCCAATGTTACAGTTCAGTCAGGCATAATTGTAACTAGAACCAATTTGACAGGGAGGACTCCATCTAGAATGCCTCTGAGCATATGCAGAATGAGTGTCCCTCATCCGTGAGTGGACAGAGTTTGCCCATTGCACCAGGAAGTGCAATGTCTCCAGGGAAGCAGGTGTGGCTTCCACACAGGCAGGAGTCCCAACATTTTTCTTTGTGCCAGTTCAGCACTGTAGCACAGTTAGATCAGAAATGGGTAGGTGGGGCGGTATTTAGTGTATTCCAGTCATCAGTTTAAACGTGCTAGCTTACTCTTGGCTCAGTCAAGAGATGTGCATGGTCTTTTCAAAGTTCAGTACGATTGGCCACCCTCTTGCAACTTAACCGCCGGGGAAACTGGGACGTACCGAGTTTTTCCTTGCATTCTGTCATCTTTTCCTTAAGGCGCTGCAGTTTTGGAAGCAGAAGAGGAAAGACATTTCCGCAAAATTGTCAACTGTTCCAAATTACCAGTCAGATTAAAATAATAATAATAATGAACTGGAAGGATTGGTTGGTTGCACTGATTATAGCTTGCTGAGGAAATCCACTTGGCATTGTGTGAATATTGCATGATGTGTGTGAACAAGACAGGCTCAGATAATTTCACCTGCATACACATGATGTGCCTTTAAAGCACGTTTGAAGCACCTTATTTCCCTCAAATAATTCTGGGTGCTGTAGTTCACCCTTCACAGAGTTCCAGTTCCAGCAACCCTTAACAAACTACAGTGCCCAGAACTCTTTGCAGGGCTTTAAAGGTATAACGTGTATGTAGCCTTCATACTGTTGGTCTTCTGTCAACCTCCCCAATTTAGGATTGTTTGTTAGCAGGATTGGCAGCACACACGCACCATAGGCTTCCCCCAAAGAATCCTGGGAATTGTAGTTACTCCTCATGGAGCTACAAATTTCATCACCCTTAACAATCCATCATTTTCAGGATTCTTCTGGGGAAAGTGCTTTGAATGTATGGTGTATGTGTGCAGCTGTCGTGATTCATTCCAAGCAAGAAATGTCCACCATTAATCAGTCAAGATTAATGATCAGCTGTGAAACTGTCTTCCTGTTTGTTTCTGGCTCCAGGTTGTTGAAAGTTTTCTGAGCAAAGAAGTGACTTGCGTTGTCTCCAGTAGCCAAGAGGCCAGGCGGGAGAGGTGGATGGAAAAGCAAAGTAGTTCTGCGTTGAAGGATGCTCAAGCTGGATCCCGGCCTTCAGAGCTCCAAAGGGGTCCCTCGCACAAGCCAATAGACACTGTAAGAGATGCGGCGGGGTGGGTTGGGGGACTAGGACTTTGGGACTAGGCGGGGTGGGTTGGGGGACTAGGAGTTTTATGTATTTTTTCGCAATAGAACTCCCCACCCCCCCCACCAGTGCTCTCCTCAAATCTGGAGAGCTGGGGGGAAACCCAGAACAAGTTTGTTTGTTATTGTATCTATATCTCATCTTTTCTTCAAGGAACTCAGAGTTGGCATACAGACCGCTTCCCCTTTCCCCATATTATCTTCACAACAACGCTGTGAAGTACCGTATTTTTCGTGCCATAAGACACACCCGACCATAAGATGCACCTAGTTTTTAGAGGAGGAAAACAAGAAAGCAACGCAAAGCCTCTTGAGCAAAGAGGCAGGAGCGCTCCTGCTGCACTCAAGAGGCTTTGCGTGGCTATCCCTGAAGCCAGAAGAGGAAGAAGGATCGCTACGCACCGATCCCTCTTGCTCTTCTGGCTTCAGCAATAGCTGCGCAGCCTGCATTCTCTCCATAAGACGCGCACACATTTCCCCTTACTTTTTAGGAGGGGAAAAGTGTGTCTTATAGAGCAAAGAATACGGTAGGTTAGGCTGAGTGTGACTGGTCCATGGCTGAGTGGGGCTAAGAACCCTGATCTTCAATGTCCAAGTTCAACACTCTAGCACTTACAGTCATACCTTGGATCCCAAACGCCCTGGAACTTGGACATTTTGGCTCCTGAACGCTACAAAGCTGGAAGCCATTGTTCCGGTTTGCAAATGTTCTTTTGGAACCCGAACTTCCTGCAGCCAATCAGAAGCTGTGATTTGGTTTTCGAATGTTTTGGAAGTCAAATGGACTTCCGGAATGGATTCTGTTCAACTTCCAAGGTATGACTGTACACCACAGTGGTGGACAGGAAGAGAGGGAGGAGAAATCCCATTGCCTGGACAAAAGTCCTTGTGCTGATGGGACAAGTGCATTGAATACTGCCCTAAAAATTAACTTCCTTTTTGTGGCATGCTAGCAGCCCCTGCGCTCAGTATGAGAATTACTAGGCTACTTAAATATCAACCTTGCCAATGCAACCTTTTTTTTTTGTTTGCTCTGAATTCTTAAAGAAAACCTCTGGGCTTTGAAGCATGTTTTCAACTGACATTTTTAAAAGATGGATTAGTTCATGGGGGGGGGACTTCACTTGTTCCATGTTTCCCAGTACCTTTTTCTTTTCTTTTTTTAATGCTGGAGACCAAGAATGAACGAAGGGAAGGGGTTCTCTGGCTCTGGTTCTGTTTGAGGCAGGACACTGACCCATCTTTGGACCAAATCAGATGTGATGTTAATAGCATGAATGAAACAAGTGGGCATCTTTTTGTAAACAACCACAGATAGGCCTGCAATGACCCAGAAGTAGAGTTAAGCCCTTTCCCTTCTGCCACGGTACCAGCAAAAATCCCCCCCTACTTTTATTTACATCAGGGTGGAAGCCTATGTTTATCACCCATCACTGTCGCCAATGGGGAGATTTTGTTCTTGATTTTTTTTGCAGACCTGATGTTATTTAGGCTATATAGCAAAAACAGCAAAGTGCATGCTAGTTCCAATTTACACAATTGTCATGTCTAGCTCAGCCGTTTTATCTCTCTCCACTGCCCAAAAGCAGTTTTACTTAGCAGTGCAGAGGTTCCTGCCCTCCCCCAACTTTATTGTTTAGGCTAAAAAGAAGAAAAATGTGCACGAGCCTCTTTAGTCCTAATAAGCTGCAGAGGTTTTATCAGACAGATAAACATTTTCTTCCAGTGTTTGGGCTAGCTAGGAAGAATGGCTGCAGCTGCTTTTAAAAAAAGCAATTTTTTTATTTTAAAAAATGTGGTCTTCCGTTGCCTTGGATGCAAAACACCCTTCTGGTGGGACAGGGTTTCAAGCATCAGACAGCCAAGCCTCATTTTACCATAAAAAAAAAATCTCACTTCAACCAAACCAGGTTTTCGAGTGCTTACTGTCACTTACGTCTTTTCTAAGAAGGGGAGATCTGGATGGGCATTCCATTTGCTGACCTTGACATAAGTTTTGTTTTTCTTTTTTCATTTCTGGCCATAGCTGCTCCTGCTCCCCGTATGTATGTACATATGTATGTATCTGTCCAACCGTCCCTTCCCACTTCTGATTTTAAGAAGTCCAGCTGTGATGCCCCCAAACCCGTTAAACTGAACTAAAAAGGTAAAGGGACCCCTGACCATTAGGTCCAGTCATGACTGACTCTGGGGTTGCGGTGCTCATCTCGCTTTATTGGCCGAGGGAGCCGGCGTACAGCTTCTGGGTCATGTGGCCAGCATGACTAAGCCGCTTCTGGCGAACCAGAGCAGCGCACGGAAACGCTGTTTACCTTCTCACCGGAGCGGTACCTATTTATCTACTTGCACTGGCGTGCTTTTGAACTGCTAGGTTGGCAGGAGCTGGGACTGAGCAACAGGAGCTCACCCCGTCGCGGGGATTCGAACCGCCGACCTTCCGATCGGCAAGTCCTAGGCTTTGTGGTTTAACCCACAGCGCCACCCGCATCCCACTGTTAAACTGGACTAAGAGCGCACAAATAAGCCTAATGCTAATGCCTAATGCTTATGAAGAAGTGATGAATAGAAACAGATAAAGCCCATTGCCAAGACCTGTGAAATCTGATTTCTCCATTTGTTTTAACCTGCTCTTTCCTTTGTCCCAATTCTTTCCCCTCCCCATTCTTATCCACACCCTCCCCAACTCTTTATGCAGAACCTGATCAGTCGTGGGAAAAAGCTCTTGCATAAAGCCATCAGGGGTCAGGTGAGCAACCCTACCAATCACTTTGTTCATCCTTGGGGTGGGGTGATGGGTCACAGCTGTGGATGAAACAGCAGAGTTGAAATGCAACCAATAGGTAACCTAGCTCAAGCCCCTGCTTACATTTAAACTGAACAATAATTCGGTGAGCCGAAGCTCAGCCCAGACAAGACTAAGATGCTGTTAGTTAGTGGGTGGTTCCTCTGACCAGATGAGTGGAGTTCAGCCTGTTCTAAATGAGGCTGCACCACCCCGGAAGGATCAGGTTTGTGGCACTGAGGATTCTCTAGGGTCCTCTTCTGTTGCTTTATTCATTTATTTATAAGCATTTTAAAAACTGCTTAATATTTAAAATCTCTTACATAAAACAGTATCATAAAAAAACAGAATTATTTTTTTTATGAGTCATAGAGAACCTGGGCAAAAATAGGTCTTTTGAAGCAACTTATGGATGATGTAGAGAGGGAACAATATTCCAAAGGATGGGGGCAGCAGCAGCTAATGCCCAGTTTTAGGTGATGGGTGCAGGGCCTCAAGTAAAATTTCCCCAGATGATCCAAACGATCTTAACAGGTCTGTACAGGGGCAGATGGTCTTTCAGGTAACCTGGTCCCAAGATCATTGGGGCTTTTGTGTGACCTTGAACATGGCTTGGTAGCTAATCAGCCACTGCTGTAGCTCCCTCCTTACAGGTAAAGTATCTGTGAGTCCAGGTACTCTAGTTAGCACCCTTGCTGCAACATTCTGTACCATCTAGTCCAGTCTCAATGCATGCCTCACTGTAGTCCAGTTGTGAGGTTACCAATGCATGAATCACAGTGGCCAAGCTATCCTTGTCCAGGTAAGGGTGTAACTGGCAAACCAACCTAAGTTGGTAATAGGTGCTCCTCACCAGAAAGACTGCCTAGCCTTCCAGCGACAAAAATGGTTCTGGAAGCACCCCCAAAGCACGTACCTGTTCCTCCAGAGGGAGTGCAATCCTGTCCAGAACTGGTAATCTGTTGTGCCTGGGAATCACTTCCTTGCACATTCGCCTCCTTACCAGAATTCAGTCTTAGTTTCCTGGCCCTCATCCAGCTCTCCATTACATCCAGGCACCGGTTCAGAACAGTCACTGCATCTCCTGATTCAGATGTAAAAAAATCTCTAATCTATGTGCAATATAAAAACAATATCCATTAGAACAAAAATACAATAATGTTTTTTAGGGTGCAGTCCCATGAGTGGAATTTCCCCAGATCTAAGTGGTCTTATAGGACTGCACAGGGGCAGGCAGTCTTTCAGGACACCGTGGCCAATGGTATCAAAAGCCCCTGAGAGATCAAAGCAAAAGCAACAGAGTTGTACTCCCTCTGTCTCAAAACGGAGCTTTAACCCTGACTGAGACCGGTTAATGTAATAGACATAGGTGGCCTCAATGGCACAGAGTGTCTTCCCCCAGCTTTGGTTGGTGGTCCAGCTGTACCCATACCTGGGCAGGGATGGCCTGGCTGTGGTGATCTATTTCCCAGTATCCTCTTGATTGGATTACTGCGATGGACATAGGGCTAGCTGGTGTCAATGCAGCCACCAGATTACCCAGGGGACTAACACTGCACTTCCTATCTATAGGTTTTGGGGACCAATTCAAGGTGCTACTTTTAACCTATAAAGATTTATACAGCCCAGAACCACAATACCTGATTGACTGCTTCTCCTGGCAAGATTATACCAGGACCTTATGAGGGTCATCTGGGGCCATTTTCCTTGTGCCTCTTCTGAGAGAGGCTTGAAAGATGACAATACAGAGAGAGTTTCCCCCCCACCCCTCACCTGTGAAATGCTCTCAAAATGAGACTCACTTGGCACCAACACTGACATCTTTTGGGTGCCAGGTTCAGGCTTTAATTTTCATCCTGGCTTTCAATGAAATTTCACCCAGGTGAGTCAAGGCTAGTGTTGGGTTGGGTTGCTAATAATACCCCCTCCCCCTTGGAAGCAGATGTTTCCTCTCTATCATGTATTTATTAGAGTGTTTAGGTTTTAATTGTGGTTGTTTTTAACGATTTCGTACTTTTTCAAATGTGATGGTAAGTTGCCTTGTGTCGGGTGACAGACAAAACAAATAGATACATTAATAATCTAGGTCTCCCCCATGCAATCCAGAGAGCAGACATACTACAGAAATATGGCCACCAAGCAGGTAAGTTTCATGTGCTGCAGGGGAGACAGAAAGCTCTCAGGGTTATTGTCAAAGATAATATAGGTGGTATGCGCTTGTATGCCAGACAAACACCAGTCACTATTAATGGTAGTCTGTTGCTCCATGAGAAAGCTGGGGGTTGGCCTTCCTGAGACAGCAGAGTACTGGCAAGACAACCTTTGAGTCGGTGAGTTACCTTGGTCCTACACCTGTATTCTCTCTGCCCCACCTGATTTGTTATAGGCGCTCTGATTAGTAATTGCTATATACATTCTCTGTTTTTCTTTCTTTCTTTCAGGATAGCACCTGTGGCAACAGCATCCTTGCCACTTCGCGATCCTGGGGGGTACAGATTATACACATAGATGGTATCCTTTTTCTAATCTGGAGTGGGGTGTCCATTCAGATGGCTTTGCAAAGATAAATCATGTCTTGCAAAAGAAGCACCTAGTCTGACAGTGAAGGAAGAACTCTCCCAAATATTTTACCAGCGCGGCTCCTTGATTCCCACCAGGGCTCCCTACCTAAGAGAGGCAACTTTTGTGAGCTGAGGTTTTGTGGGTTTCTTTTTGCATCTTGAATTAAAGGGTATGGTTTTCCCCCTGTGTATGTGTCCAACCTAGCAGAAATCTTGCTACCGCCCCCACAAAAATAAAAATTAAAAAATTAACAGTTCCCGGGATTCCCTAAAAGGATCCTGTATGGTTGGAATACACAATTTGTGTGCTTCTTTCTTCCAAGCAACTTGAAAGTTTCTCCCACCCCAAGGTCCTGTTAAATCTTAATATAAAATTTCCTGACGTGCTATAGAGGGTTAGGGTGGGTTGTCTGATGCTGCCTTTGTACCTTTGTAACAGTCTGGGAGGCAGGTTGGGCTAAAGAAGGTGCTTGTCTGAAGGTACCAAGTGAGCTTTGTAATTGAGCAGGGATACAAACCTGGATCTCACAGCTCAGTACTAGACATCATCCTGTATAATAGGTAAATAAGAGAACATGGGGCAGATTCTGGAGTGCATGGAGGGTATACAATGATGAGAGACAGAGCTAGGGATAGATGTGTCTATTTTAGTCTGTGTCCATTTTGCATACATTCAGGCATAAATCCTTTCGATTCTGTTTTTTGCATGAATCAGCAAACCTTTTTTTAATCTTCATGAAAACGTGTATTTATATTTTATCTCGATAGAGCTAAACCTAAAAGGGACGCGTGTGGCGCTGTGGGTTAAACCACAGAGCCTTGGCCTTGCTGATCAGAAGGTTGGTGGTTTGAATCCCTGCGATGGGGTGAGCTCCCGTTGCTCGGTCCCTGCTCCTGCCAACCTAGCAGTTTGAAAGCATGTCAAAAGTGCAAGTAGATAAATAGGTACTGCTCCGGCGGGAAGGTAAATGGCGTTTCCGTGCACTGCTCTGGTTCGCCAGAAGCGGCTTAGTCATGCTGGCTGCATGACCCGGAAGCTGTACGCTGGCTCCCTTGGCCAGTAAAGCGAGATGAGCACCGCAACCCCAGAGTCGGCCACGACTGGGCCTAATGGTCAGGGGTCCTTTACCTATCTAAACCTATTTTATCCTAAAATATGGGTTGCAACGCTAAAGGATTTGAATTCTACTTTCAACTTACCGTACTTTGAGGTTTAGGGTAGGGATTTTAGCTCTGGCAGAAAGTGTGCTTAGCACACAGAAGATTCCAGGTTCAATCTCTGGTTTAAAGGATCAGGGATCTGGTGATGGGCAAGTTCTCTGTGTTGGACCCCATAAAGCTACTGCCAGCCAGAGTAAACTACTTGGCTAGGTGGGCCAATATAAGGCATTTTCCTGTGCTACATATAGGCTCTATTTAGATGCAGACCAATATGCTCCAGTTATTAGAGCAACTAGTTAAGAGTGCATGCTTGCTCAGAAAATGATGGATTTCAAAATGGGAAACCTGATGTAAATCAATGATTTAAATTGGTCTTTTTCCCAGAGTGATTTAAATCACCTTGATTTCAATCGATAACACCGCATTATAGAGGCAAACCTCTTTTCTGCATGAAATAGCGCAATGCTTTTTCCTTGCCGGAAGGTGGCAGGCCAGAGCAATGGATGGAAGAGCTTTTCATTGGTATGGGGTGGTTGCCGGGGAGATTTTCCCTCACTCTCTTCTGCATGGGTCTTGATTAGGATTGCTGACAGTCTTACTAGCTCTGACTCCCGTGGCTCAGCAGATTGATCAACAGACATTCTTCTCCACTGAAATGCCTCATTTGCTGAGTTGTATTTTTGTGAGTCAGTCTGCTGCTATATGCACCGGGGTGGGCCTCTTTTCTGTCAATTGGCAACCATAGCCTTAATTGGACCAAAAGACTGATGTAGTTCCAGCCTCTTCCTTACCAGGGAGGCTGGAATGACATAAGCAAGTGCTACCAGGTAATTTATGTGATTCGCTATACAAAAAGCTTTGCTTCTGTACAATGTGTGCATTTTTTTTTTAATGCACATGTTCTGTCTTGCTCATTCAGTTTCAGAATTGTTAAACATATTTAGCAGGTGTCCTGCAGGATAAACCTGTTGAGATGTTGCAGAGTTCTTTGTGGCATCAGTACTGCTTCAGCAGCGAGCATATGAAAAAGCTGGGGTGGGAGAAAAGAAGGCTTGTTCCTCAACCTGAGCGCTTGTTGGTTCATGCAAACATTAGACAAACATTACCTTAATTGTGGGGCCCCATCTCTCCTTTATGCCTCATTCTAATCCCTCTGTCAATTAGTTTCTGACACAGCTTACTTAAATTGTCGGCTGATCAACCCTGTTCCTGTGCTTGATCTGCAGAAATCAGTAGGTAAATTTTAAGTTAGCTTTTTCCACGGTGTGAAGATAAGTGTGATCACTTGCTACTGTCTGCTGATCAGGCTGCTGTTCAGGGCACAGCTGCAGCAGCTGCTTAAAAGTTGGTGACCTAACAAGTGCTCAAAGTTGGTTTGATAACTGGGTGTGGCCTCTTTCCCCCTCCTTCTCTCTTCTCCCCCATCCAAGTGTTGAAACTGTGAGGTTGTGTCCACACTCCCATTTATTCCACATGCAGTACTAGCCCACCACTGGCTTGAGAAGCAGTGTACAAATGATTTTAGCTATAATCAATAGCTCCCTGTTGTTGCTTTTGAAACACAATGTGTTGATGCGTTCTTTCCCAACCCAGATATGATCTGAATTGAGAAACGCCTTCCTGAGTTTTAAGCCAGCAATGTATATACTGCCAGAGTTAGGTTGTGCTCCTGTTCCTCTACTCTTATCTTTTTCTAGGGGGTAGAATACAATGTTGTTCTCCTTAATGGCCCTTCCTCCTCAGAAATGCTGTCCTACATACGATTGTTGTCTAAGAAGCACCCTTCCACGGCAAAGGTTGGTAATGTTAAGAGGTACATTTTTGTGTAGCTTTTATGATTTCAGGATCGTAACAGGCCCGGGAAATACCATGCTTAAAAGGTAAAGGGACCCCTGACCATTAGGTCCAGCCGTGACCGACTCTGGGGTTGCGGCGCTCATCTCGCTTTATTGGCTGAGGGAGCCGGCGTACAGCTTCCAGGTCATGTGGCCAGCATGACTAAGCCACTTCTGGCGAACCAGAGCAGTGCACGGAAACGCCGTTTACCTTCCCGCCGGAGTGGTACCTATTTATCTACTTGCACTTTGACGTGCTTTCGAACTGCTAGGTTGGCAGGAGCAGGGACCGAGCAACGGGAGCTCACCCCGTCATGGGGATTTGAACCGCCGACCTTCTGATTGGCAAGTCCTAGGCTTTGTGGTTTAACCCACAGTGCCACCCACATCCCTCAGGATCGTAACAGGCCCAGGAAATGCCATGATTATGATGTGGTAAATCCTGCCCTACAGCAGGAAGGGCAGGATAAATCATGGCCTTTCTTTCTGTGGCTGATTGACACCATTTGTCTGGAAGGTTAGGTACCCGCACGACTGAAATGATTGTGGCCCTATTGGCTTCCCACAAACGGACTCTGTTTTTGTCGCACCCCAGAGCAGGAGAGATTTAGCTAGAAGACTTTTGAGGCTGTTTTCCAGGCATTTGCCAATTCTTAGGAGATCGTTTCATATTATGCAAACAGGTTCTCAAAAGCACAATGTAACTGTGGGGTAGAAGACTGCGAATTTGAACCTGGGTTTGGGGAGACTACAGAGGTCCGCCTCTTCCAGGGGTTGTGGTTTCTAGTTCTAGAGCACACCAGCATAACCCACTTTCATATGCTCTGGTGTTACATAAACTGCCATGTGAACAAGCATGTTCCCTGACCATTGTCACTGGGAGAATGGGTGGGACACCATCTGCTACATGCACTGGCGGTCAGTGCTGCTGGGACCAGCTGCCAGAAACCTTGAAGACCTGCTGCCGTGTGCATTTAGGGTTTTTTTTTTGCCTGCCTCTGTCAGCCTTTTTAATGCTTGCTGCAGATTCATTGTCCTGACATCTCTTCCTGTGTATTTCCCCTGGGTTAGGTGAAGTTGGTTGCTTCTGGGTTCCAGCCTTCGGAAGGTAAGCATGGAGGTTTCAGTGTTGCTGGAGGCCAGGGGGCGCCCTGTGTTGTCACCTGCTGCCTCCCATCGCCTTGCATAAACTCCAAAATTCATATTGCGGTTTGGTGATGTACACTCTGTGCTTAAATGAGACGGGGAGAGAAAGCCAGAGAGGTTTGCTACAAGAAAACGTATATAAATCACTTCATGCAAAATAAAGAGACTTGAGTCAGTTCCAATTCTGAACACTTAAAAAAACAGAACTCTGAATTGGAGGGAGAAAATTTGGCTGCAGACAAGAAACAGGAAGAAAAGTTGCAGATCTGTGAGTAGGAAACAGCATTGTCCAGATCAGTTAAAGTCCCATCACTTCATCTTGCTTTTCCAAACAAGTGTTGCATGTTTCCAAGCCTAGCAACAATAAAGAGCTAGGACCTTACACTGGGTTGTGCTAACTCTGAAGTTTTCAACCTTTTTGAGTCCGCGGCTCCCTTGACCAACCAATTATTTATGTGGCACCCCTGTGGGTCTCAGGAGCCCAGTTATGTCACCTCTTCCCTGCAGAGCTTGGCAGCCTCTCACTCTTTATCGAACACCCTTCCTTGTGGGGCGTTTCCTCAGCCTCCTCTCCCCTCTCCTTGGGAGTCCTCTGGGCAGTCACTGCTGCTGCCCGTGGTCTCTGAGCTGCCCGCCCTGCCCCAGAGAGAGGTGCCTTCTCACACTGCCCCACAGGGGCCTGGGACTTGTCTGTCCATTCCCAATAGCAGGGACTGGCTGGCTGGGCTGCCTTGCCTGCTTGCTTGCTTACTCTGAGGCCACTTCAGCTTCTGGCAACCGGCACCCCCTGACCAGCCCCAGAGGCACCATTTGCCTGCGAAGCTTGTAGCCAGGTCTGCTGTAACAAACAACTGTGCTAGCCTTTGGGAGGCAGAGATGCAAGAGGGCATCAGAGATGGGAGGGAAAGAAAGAGGGACAGAGGTCAGTGTTGCCCGCAGCACCCCTGACCATCATTCAAGGCACCCCAGGGTGCCACGGAACACTGGTTGAAAACCACTGTGCTAACTTATTTATTTTTCTTGTGTACATTTTAGCATATGCTTTGTATGCCATGGTGATGTTGTTGTTGTTATTATCTATCCACCCTTCACTCTTAAGGTCCCAGGATGGTTACAACAATTAAAACACAATACTAAAAACAATTTAAAACAATTTCCAATCACAAGCATAAAATGAGTCCCAAAAATATACAGCTTACTGTACATTATTTGCTCTCTCTGTCGCCTCTTCCCCCCCCTTCCAGGGAAATCTCCAGTGTTCCCTTGGTATTTAAAATTGCTGATGGGCTTCCTTTGTGCCGGCGACAAGGTCCAGCCACATCTCCTGTTCCCTGGAGATGTACTATTGTGACTGCCAGTTCTGGACTGTCTCCCACTTGCTAACAATGCAGCATTGGCATGGTGCTGGCACGGTGCCTGCCCATGAGGCAGGCTGTTGTTTTAATATAATAATCACCTTGTTACACAGTGTTTAAGTAACAGTCACCTGCAACAGCTTGCTCAGCTGTTTCCCCCCAGAGCTGGCTGCTTAACTGCAATCCTCCTCCCCCCCCCCCCGACTTCCTCAAATCTGTAATGACTTGATGCTTAGCTTTTTAAAGAGAGGTGTCCGGGCTACCTAGCTTCCTGTGACCTTTCCACTAATCCAAAGTCTGGGATGCTGGTGGCTGTATCTATCTTTCCTCTGATATTTTAATAACGAGAGCTGCCAACAGTTGCTTTTCTTCTTCTCATGTTTCTTTCTTAGTGGTAAGGCTGAAAGCTCCATTCCTGAAAATTGAAGATGAGAGCAGGTAAGAGTCACGGAGAGTCACGGGACTCTCCCCTGCCTATTAATTTCTCAAAGACTGGAAGCTTGGTGTCACCTGGCTCTGTCGAAGCAGTCCAGTTCCCCTTCCCTGGCCTCTGATGTAGAAACTCTTCAATCTTTCCCACATAATGCAGGGTACGGGTTTCTCTGGTAAACCCATTGAGAGGTCCGTGGGAATAAAATGGGTAATGATGTCTCCCATCTTGGCATGATTCCCAGCTATCCCTCCATGAAGATCCTGTAGGTGGCTCTCTGTACAAGCTGCCTTCCCAAGGGCCATTCTTGTTCATTCCCAAGTACTTACTGAGAGTTTTTTCGCTCTGTCTAGGCAACTCAGGCCATTCTTTCAACAATTCAAGAATTTCCCCCAACTGTATTTCCGGCCGCTGAGAAGACATAGCCCATTTCAACCCCCACGAACCTCTTCCAGCTCAAAGTAAGTGTTTGTGGGGGATGGGTGGGTAAGGTAGCTAATGGCGTAGGAGGAAAACTTAGGAAGCTCTTCTAATAAATATACAGTGGTACCTCGGTTTACGTATGCTTTAGGTTACACACTCCGCTAACCCAGAAATAGTGCTTCAGGTTAAGAACTTTGCTTCAGGGGGGCCACTAGGGGGCGCATTGGAAGATGGCCGACAATACCATCTCTCCCACCCACACGGGGTAATATGGGTGTTATGGGAGTAGGCAGCCTCCCTTGTTGCCCCAAGGAAATGGGGAACACTACCCTTGCCTGCTGTGCCCATAAATCACCCCCTAATTCGAAAGAAGGGGGTGAGGGCCCTAGGCAGAATGCCCCCATGTGGACCTCGGCTCTCCTGGACGCTGTCTCTGATCACACACTAGTTGCAGCAATTTGGAATAATTAATTACAAAAGAAGCAAATGCACATATTTCAAGTGAAGAAGGGGAGTGAAGTCTGCTAATTTAAGTGACCTCTGCGAAAGAAGACAACGGGCTGGAGAAACAGGAATATTTTACAATGAAGATACACCAAAGGCGGGGTATGTTGACAACGGGGCTGAATGGGGGACGGGACCTTTTTGACTTTCCTTCTATGTGATTTACAAGAACCCCTCCTCATTAGAACCGTCGGTTGAACTGACCCAAGCAGGATGATTAAGGTCTGTGTGGAGATAAACTTTAACCAAAAGTATGCTTTATGGAGACCGAGAAGCAATAAGAGCTTTTGGGAATGGCACAGCAATTAATAAGAGTCGCCATCTTGCCAAAGGATTTATAGCCGGGAGGAAGAACAGATTTGTTTTCAGACTGCATTCCTAGTGAATCTCCTCAGAGGTTTTGAGAAAGGAGGCAGATTGGTGAAGATTAATGATGCTAAGACTGTTTTGATGTATGGAAGTGATGTTATATGGAAAACGTCTGGATATGGCTACTGGATAAAAGAAATAATATCCACGCAGGATTACAAACTGTTCTAACCAGCTTGCGGAGACTATCAGAGGTCACAAAGAGAAAGGAAAAATATATGAAAATAACAACAAGAGATGTGGAAAAATAATAAGAAAGGACTGGATAGTACTGTGAACATCATAAGGTTAGATTTGTGGACATTAAAACAGCAGTAAGAAGCAAGAAGTTGATTGGATCCCTTCGGAACTTGAAATATGGGTACCCCCAACAAAAATTTAAAATTCGGCTGTGTAATTCGGAATTTATGTAATTTGATTTGATTTGATGTGATTGGTCGGTTAATAAAAAATTATTCTTAAAAAAAAAAGAACTTTGCTTCAGGATAAGAACAGAAATCGGGCTTCGGTGGCGCAGCAGCAGCAGGAGGCCCCCATTAGCTAAAGTGGTGCTTCAGGTTAAGAACAGTTTCAGGTTAAGAACGGACCTCCGGAACGAATTAAGTACTTAACCAGAGGTACCACTGTACAGGACAAATCAAATCTGCCTGTGTGGTGGGGAAACCAGGTAAATAAACTGGAATCCTGCCCATAGCACCAGCTATTTTTGCCTCAGGTGTAGAAAGGGAAGCCACAAAAATATTGTTGGGCAGGCCTGAAGTTCAGAAAACAAAGGTAGTCCTGGATGGGACCCCCAAGTGCTGAGGAGATTATAAAAGTTTTAAATTGTGTCGCCAAATCTGAAGGCGGAGGGAACAAAGTAGGACACTGGGTTTGTGCAGCAGGGGAATGGAATGTCCTGAATACGTTTGTTTTGTCCTTTCTGCAGAGCACCTGAAAGCAAACGGTCACCCAATGAACTCTTCCCTCCTTCGGCCTGCTGTATCATGCCCAAACCACAGAAAGGCTACTGTGAATGTTGTGAAGAAGTCTTTGCAGAGTTGCAGATGGTAAGAAAGTCCCTTACCCCAGACCTGGGCTTCCTCTGAAGGAGAACAAGTCCACTTATACCAGTGTCTGCCCAGTCCTGGGACAACTACCTACATTCTGAACTGCATATACTAAAGCTACAGCAGGCTTTGCAGCTTCGGCCTTGGAAGACATAACCTCTGCTCCATTGTAGTACTAGGTCTAAGCTAGGCAGGGTACTAAAGCCTTTTCCTATACCAATTTATATCATGTTCAGCCTAGTGCTGTGCTGAAAATGTTCCCTGCTCTTTTTGTAAACCTATTTGCAGGCCATGGCAGCATTTGGGTGATTTATGCAATTTTGGGAGGAGGCATGAGGGGAATATTAAATTTTCAGTGGTGAAGAGCTTTACCAGAAGAATGGATTTACCCCCAAAATCCTCAAAACAGCTGGTGGCCACATCTGCCCTGCAGTGACACCTCTGAGTGGCCTTGCATCACAGCATAGTGTTGTTCCAGGTGAATTGTACAGTGGTACCTTGGGTTAAGAACTTAATTCGTTCTAGAGGTCCTTTCTTAACCTGAAACTGTTCTTAACCTGAGGTACCACTTTAGCTAATGGGGCCTCCCGCTGCCACCACGTCGCCACGCAATTTCTGTTCTCATCTCAAGGTATTATTTTTGGGTTAGTGGAGTCTGTAACCTGAAGTGTCTGTAACCTGAAGCATCTGCAACCCGAGGTACCACTGTATATGGAGGTGGGCCGAAATAGAATTCCATTTTTATAAAGGAAATAGAAAGCCTTTGTTGCTTGTGCCATTTTTCAGGTAAAGCTCTTTGCCACTCCAAAAAATTTCACAATTTCCCCCCATCCCTTTACACACACACGTGACCACTTTGAAGATCTGCAAAAGGTTCCCATTGGAATTTCAGACCCAGCTCTCATTCAGCCAACTGTCTGGCTTTGGAGACACCAGCACCATTAGCCATGTACTAACAGGCTCATCTTTGCAGCATAAGGGATAAATCTGCTTGTGTTTTTAAAGAAGCTGAGCTTTTCAGGAAGATACGTTCTGTGATAGTGTTGCATTCTGTGCTCTTACAGAATCCCAGCATATGCACAGCTCTGGGTACTAATGTCTCTCAGGCCTGGTAGTGCAGATGTCACTGAAGAATAAATGCATTCAGTGCTGAATAGACTGGGAGGAGGGACAAGTCCTCATGCCTCTGTTTATCCCTCCTGAGAATTAAAAGTCTGGTAACTTCCTTGGAGACCAGTGGTTTTCTGTTGTGCAGAATGCAAACCCCCAAATTGGTCCAGTTTCTTAAATATTGGCACAAACATATTCAGTTGGGCACTGATTTAGTATTACTCCCTCTCCCCTGGCAGTTCTATTCTTTTCTTTGGTGGGTAAGCTCCTGAGGTCGTATCAGTCTTCCCAGCTCCTAAACAAGGCAATTCCTCACTGATCTATTTTGTCTGGATGCTTAAATAAAGAGGTTTGCTGGTACAGAATCTTTCATTTCCTTCCCATCTTCAGACCTCCCCCATTGCCTCTGATGCAGCCGTTTTGCCTTTTGCAGCACCTTCAAAGTCAACGGCATAAAGAATTTGCGCTGGATCCGTCCCACTACACTCTCGTGGACAGCATCCTCTCTCAACTGACCAACGACTTCGTGGTTTCTTCCTCCTCTCCACCACTGAGGTGAAAGTTTAACTCATGGGTTTTGGAGGGGGTGAAGAGTTATAAGTATCCAGCTCTTTTTGAAGGACTCAGGAATCACTGCATAAATCTGATGAGTATTGTGGCTATATTCAGGGATTCTGATCTACAGTTGTAGAAACTGACTTGGCAGGACGTTCAGGATGGACAGAAGGAAGCACTTCTTCATGCAGCATAATCCTGGATTGCCAGTAGTACATGTAAAAGGGATTTACAGGTCTTACTAGACCACAAGTTTAACATGAATCAACAGTGTGATGCAGCAGCCAAAAATACTAATCAAGGGGAGTAATAGTCTTGCTCTATTCTGTCTTGGTCAGACCACACCTAGAGCCTTTTGCGGGATGGTTTAGGAAATTGGGTATGTTAAGCCTGGTAAAGAGGAGACAGAAAGGAGATATGATAGCCATCTTCAAGTATCTCAAGGGCTGTCACATGGAAGGAGATTCTGACTAAACATCAGGAAGAACTTTCTGACAGTAAGAGCTGTTCAACAATGGAACAGACTCCTTCGGAAAATGGAGGGCTCTTAAGCAGAGGCTGGATGGCCATTTGTCATGGATGCTTTAATTGAGATTTCTGTATTGCAGGGGGTTGGACTAAATGACACTTGGGGTCCCTTCCAGTTCTTTAATTCTATTATTCCCTTCATTGCTTGTGACAAAAGTTTGTCTAGGTGGCTGAAAAATATAGAAGAATATCTGTCTTATGGTCATGCTTCTGACTGAAGAATAAAACCCACGGTGGGGCCATTTTATTTTGTTTAGTCTCTCTAAAGCAGTCCAATGGCATTGTTCTTTGTGTAATATGATAAAATTAAAACTTCCAGTAGAAGAACTGAACAGAAGCAGATAATTGGTTTGGGAACACTAAAATAATGATTTATTTTTTAAAAGGTACAAAAAATATTGACACCTGGGGCCCAAATGTGCTATATTTATATCATTTGCTATCTTTATATTCTCTTCCTCTTAGGATGCCTCCCAGTGCCTGTAGTGGTGACTATTCTGAATTTCGTTTGGAGGACTATTGCATGTTTGCTGGAGGACAGACTGTCAACCCAGAGGCTTCAGCTCACTTGCTCCAGGACCAAGACTTTCTCCATCTTGCAGAGCTACCCCTAGAGATGCTCCTCACCCCAGTGCCATTTGGATCCCTGGGGTCAGCATCCGAGCATCACAAAGCGGGCAGACTGGTTGCCAGTACTTGCTCAGAGGCTGCAGCCTCCGCTGAGGCCGACCACGGTGCCGTCCCCCCAGAGAGGGGGCTCTTAGTTCAGCCTGCTGCGCTGTCTCGGAAACGCAAGCTCTCCGGCAGCCTGCACGGGCAGGCAAGAAAGAAGCGAGCCTTATCCAAGCAGCCCTCAAACGACAGGTTGCCGGATGAGAAGTTGCTGCTCCCTGGGAACCAGCAGGCTGGCACGACAGGATGCCCTCCGAATCAGATGGCTTCCAGACCCCTCAGCTTCTCTGCGGTACCATTCAGCAACCTTGGCCCCTCACACTTAACTTGGGACAGTCTGTCTTCTGAGCCTCTTGCTATAGACACCGGCTGCCTCCAAGACGCAGTGCGACAGCGGGGCCAGGGCGAGGTGGCTGCTCTTTCTCCCTATCAAGGGAAGAACGCATGCATTTCTTGGGACTTTCCCAGCCCTAGTATTGAATCAAGAAGCATGTCTGGCTTCCCCATGGGCAAGCACATAGCCCCCACGCTGCTGGGCTCTGTGGACCAGCACTGCTTGTCTTTCATGGATATATCTGAACTAGCTTGGTGTGTTACCTCAGCAACTGGGCCTAGGCCCTAGCCATGGCCTCTCTGCTCCTCTCTGCCCACTGACTAGTCTTTCTCCTGAGGCAAAGAGCCCTCCTTCCATGTCAGAATGGGATAAACTGCCTTCCATTTCCCCTTCAAGAGCTTGATGGATGCTGCACTGCTAGGGACCTGCGTCAGCCTGTGTGAGGCAGCAACTATGAATCCCATCTCTGTTCTGCGCTCCTACAGAAAACAGCCAATCTCAGGCTGCAAGGAGGACTAGGGTTACAGGAACAGCCGTGTGGAGATGGAGGGGACTCAACTGCAGTTGGAGCTTGTGTGGAAAACTGGATAAGCTAGGCTTCACTTCCAGAGGCCTGCTTCCTCTGCTCTGCATCCTCCTCCATCTCTGTTTCCTATGCCCTCTCTTTGCTCTGCCTCTTTCCATCTCTGAGCTTCTTTCTCCTTCACTCCTCTTGCAGGTGGGCTACCGCCAAGTCTTCCTTTCTCTTCCAGTATCCTACGGAGTCAGGATTCATAACTGCATCCTTACAAGTGCTCTTTGATTTGCGTGCTTCTTAATGTGGCTTTTTTTCTGCTCTGCACCCCCTTTGAACCGAAATAAACAAAAGCGAACATTTGACTGCACTTGTTCCGTGTCATTTTCCTGTAAGGTCCTGGTTATCAAAATTCACTCATTCCTCTATATCCAGCTTTCGAATTCATGGAGAGCATAGCTCCATTGGTAGACCATAAGACTCTTCAGTCTCAGTGTCGTGGGTTTGAGCCCCACATTGGGCAAAAGATTACAATTCCATGACACTCCCAACTTTCTGCTTCTCTTTATGAATATCTTGCGCCCTTGAATCCCACATTGCTGTTAAATTGTGATTCTACTCTTGCAATATTAATATATAGGAATTAAGATCTCCCGCTTCAAGACCCCACAAAATGGTGACTTCCCAGGATCCCTTGCAAAAAGCTGTCTTTCGCTCCACTGAGTCAAGGTTTCCCTCAAAGTATCTGCCATTTCCACCTATTGACTCAAAAGAGATTAGTTCGCCTCTCCCTTTATATTATTACTTGAGCGCATCTACATCAGATATGTGGGTGGATCTATATTTGCTTTGGGATCCTCTCAGATCAGAGCAGAGACCGTTAAACAGATGCATGATGAAGAAAAGAAACATTCTAAGCCAGTCATCTTTATATACAGAGTTCTTAAAAGTTGTCATTTCCTGACCTCACACAACAACATCTTAAATGTCACAATAGCTATCCTAACTTTTAAATATATACTTTAAGGTTTCCTTTGTCTCATTTCTCTTTGCCCCTCCCCCCACCTCTCTCTCCCTCAGAATCGCATACTCATTTCCCAACTGCCACACTCCTCCAGTCACTCTGTTCACTCCCCTGTTGTCAATCATTTTTCCACTAACATTTCTGTCACAAAACCATCTTGCGGCTCAAAACCGATCAACTGCCCAACCCCATGTAACACCTGGCAACTTTTGTGGCGGGCATACTGATACCCGAATGTCAAAAATGCTATAACGTGGCCCAGCTTTTGTAGAGGTCTCCCTTAAATTGTGTTCGCCTCAGAATTGAACGCTCTGCTTTCCCCACTCCATATCTTACCTCCTGTAATTAGAGATAACTGTTATGCTATGTATGCAGGTTGAACAGAGTAAAAGCCTCATGGGTGGAAATTAATATTTCACCCTGCTCACAGATTTTGACCAAAAAAATACATGTTTAAATCATTACAGGAGAAATGTATCCTTTCAGCAGGAGTGTCACGGCAGAATGTACAACATGAGTATAAAGCTGAGGTAACATTTGACCCAATTGTGCTTAATGCAGTGGATCCACCGGAGATCCAGCGAACGCTTGTATTCTGTGATGCACAACAAGCTAATCCCTAATTTAGAAAGGAAATCAGATTTCGGGGGAATGCAGTGCTCAACAATAAATTTCAGACGGTGTTTTGCAGGCCTGCTGTATGTAATATCAAGTTTTCCACGTTAGATCTTCCCTTAAAGTTAATCCACAGGGCTTATTGGACACCCACATGGTCTAAGCCTTCGGGATCCAAACAGATGAGAGCTGGTGGTATAAAATCAGAGTGAAGTCATTTACTTTGTTTTCACGGCGCCCTGTTGTTGCCTCTTTTTGGAAAGAAGTTGAAACTAGAATGAATTTTAGTTTTGGATAGCACTTCAGAGATTACTGATAGTTGGCCTACATATCAGATAAATGGGGACCATGTGAGGGGGTGGTTTAGCAAAGCCGTGCTGACAGCCTAAAAGAATAATCTTGAGGCACTGGAAATCTAGGATGACACCAAAGATGGAAGGGTTGGATGTATGATCCGCTGCTGCTGGCTGCTCATGAAAAGGTTCTCTGAGAGATGGGGGCTTCAAACAGATTTGGGATGGATTCATAGAACTGTATGCAGCATCAAGGAGAGAGATGTCATACAAACCAGTATTTCTGATATACAAATTGACTTCACTCCCAAAGGTGCACTCCTCTATTGTCTCCCGAGGCAGATGGATGCCAACCAAAGATTAATAAGAATATTTTAAATTTTCCATTCTAATTTTTGTTTCTTTGGGGAAGTGGAGATGGGTTATGTTTGGGCCAGTGGGGAGACTTGGGTGGGTGTTGGGGGAGTAAGTTTGCATGTACTGCATGCTATAGGAAAAGTTATCAACAAGCTGTTAATAAACACACAATCATGTTGTGGTTTCTCACATGTCATATTGCTGCACACTTGCAGCAAAAATGGAAGTCTTATAAAAGCCATTCTTAGACAGAACCTTTGCATTTTAAATGCCCTGCACTTTTTAGAAATGGGCCTGCCGCAACTTCTATCGTAATGAAACAAACCAGTCGCATGTGGTGACTTGTAGAAGAGTAGAGTTGGAAGGGATCCCAAGGATCATTTAGTCCAACCCCCTGCAATGCAGCTAATAGTCAGAGACTAGTAAACTGGCAAAAGGTGATTGAGGAGTTAGCAAGTTTGGACTCTGGCTGGAAAGATATGATAAGCCATGAGTTTCACTGGGCCAGCCACTATCTGAGCCTAGACTACCTGATGGCGCACTATAAAGTGAGGTGCTTTGCACTCATGTTTACCACCCTGAGCTCAGGTGCTGTACCTGCTGACATTTATTATTCTTTGGAAAAAGTTTCAGAGCTGCAGCCTGTGTTCCCACTCCATTACATCATTAAGAATGGACTATCCCTTAATGAACTATCCCTTTTCCCAGTAGTGATGTATGGAAGTGAGAGCTGGACCATAAAGAAGGCTGATCACCGAAGAATTGATGCTTTTGAATTATGGCGTTGGAGGAGACTCTTGAGAGTCCCATGGACTGCAAGAAGATCAAACCTCTCCATTCTGAAGGAAATCAGCCCTGAGTGCTCACTGGAAGGACAGATCCTGAAGCTGAGGCTCCAATACTTTGGCCACCTCATGAGAAGAGAAGACCCCTGGAAAAGACCCTGATGTTGGGAAAGATGGAGGGCACAAGGAGAAGGGGACGGCAGAGGGCGAGATGGTTGGACAGTGTTCTCGAAGCTACCAGCATGAGTTTGACCAAACTGCGGGAGGCAGCGGAAGACAGGAGTGCCTGGTGTGCTCTGGTCCATGGGTTCATGAAGAGTCGGACACGACTAAACGACTAAACAACAACAACATCCCTTAATTAATGGAACATGTTAGCCCCCATAGTGCCCAGAATACAGATTACACCAAATGTTCCATCCTACAGTTATACATTTGTGTCTCTGAGCATGTGCAAATTACCTTTCCCTCTTTACCACAGAGTACCAACAGACTGCCCCTACCCTGTTTGGATTGCACAGGAGAGGGTACGCCTAATAAACCGTAAATCTCACCACTTAAGAAATTTAAGTACTACCATAGGAGGTTGGAGAAGGAACTTTGTATTGTGCATTAAATTTAGCAACATTTGATTTGTGCTATTAATCGAGAGACTGTCTTAGCCCTTATACACTCAGTGGATTGTTGTGGGAGAGTTTCTCCTGCAAGTTCCAAAGATCTCAGAAGCCTGCTCTGCAATAACTCAAAGCAGGGCTTTCAGTGTGGCTGCCCCTGTTCTGTGGAACAGGATTCCCTGAGAGATACAACAGACCCCCACTATCTGCACTTTCTGGAACCACCTGAATACATTTTTGTTCCAACAGATGTTCCAACCTGGATAAATGGGTCTTAACCACAAGTGTCTGATTTGCATCTTTTTAATTTTAAATGTAATTGCTGTTTTTGTGTTGCTAACTGTTTAAAAATATTTTTTAGTGTACATAGCCTTGTGGTGGTTGCTTAGAAGGCAATTAATAAATTGATGATGATAATGATTTCAGTTCACTGCCGGACTTCCTGAACCTATTCAGGTGAACGTAGAATTCGATCAGAAGGTAGAACCTAAAGCCATTTAATTTGTCCCCTGATTCCATTCCCATGTTTCAAGACTGGATCTTCTGTCTGCCAACGCATATCTAATCAGCGTGCACAACCCTAACCGTGGCATATAACAAAGAGGTGCTGTTGAAAAGCTACCTGGCAGGAGACTTAGCTCCTCAAGCAGGTGAACAGAGGTATATGCTTCAGGAGAACATACACACACTAGGCTTGCTCACCAATTTGGCTTGGCCCTGCAGTTTGTAAGTACATGAGGACCATGCAAGACCACACCTGATTTGACTGACCTGGCATCAGCTACCAAACACTCCCCATTTCTTCTAAATAGGTCATCCTTGCTCCTTAATCCCAGATACGTTGAACGAAGGGGATGAATTCTGGTGAAAACTACAGATTACCCGGTAATGATGGTAGGCACTCTGCATATACTCAGAGGCATACTTCCTCTCTTCCATGTTCCAGTGCTGAATCTCTCAAATCCATCCTGGGACCTGAATCACCCTGAGCTCCTGGCCTAATCTTCCTGAAAGAAGAAATAATTCCATGATTTTGGAGTGTGTTTATTCCGCCTTGATTTCCACCAGAGTAAACGGGTCTGATTTGCCTGTGTGCATGTGCAGAGAAGGTTAGTGTGTGCACACCCTGCTTCCCCCACCCCCTGCTTTTTGCTGGTTCCTGCTGCCTGTCCATACAGAAAGAGAGTGGGGGGGGGGAGCGACAAGAGACAGCTCTTCCATGCTAAAAAGGCAGGAGGGAGGGATCTTTGCAGCTCACGTGTCCTTTCTCTCCTTTGCCTCCCCCCTCCCCAACTCTCCCCATCTCTCTCCCTCACATCATGTTAGACTCTTGTATCCATCACTGCAGAGCCAGGATGGAGAAATTTCCGTATCCTTCCTGCCCGTTCCTGGCTCTTCACTGGTTTTGATTTTGCTTCTGCAAAACATTCTCGTCTCTCCTTTCTCTCTCTTTCCTCTCCGCTCCTCTTCTGACCACCTTCCTCCCCTCAGCAACAATTCCGAGGAGAAAAAGAAGAAAAAGAAGGAAGGAAGAGAGGCAAGGACCAGGGAGCATCCCAGACTTTCAATGCAAAGCAAAAGAAAAAGAAGAAAGGGCACTGAGACCTGTCTTCCTCGCATGCTGTACCAATTGGTGCCAGCCCTGATTCCGATT